AGAGGGTGCAGCTTCTTCGCCACTGCCAGCAATGCAGAGAAAGTGGCTGGGCGCGAAGCTGTGGTGCATCCAGTAGGAAGGACCTGTATTCCTCTATGGCCCTTACCGCCACTGTTCCCCAACATTAAAGTGGTGGAACAGCCCAAGGTGGGCCTCCCGTGAAAGGGAGAGGAAATACGTTCTGAGAAAGAAAGAGGAGTAGGGACATCGGTTAAACCCGTAACCGTCGTATTCCTGCCCTCCTTGAACGCATCGCGGGTCTGAATTGCGCTGACCGAGGCCACAGCCTGCGGCAGGGCACCATCCCCAGCAAGCGATTGCGTCATCTTAGGTGACTGCAATTCGCTATCAGAGCCCTTCACTACAGTACTCCTAGAAGTCTGTAGTATGAGGTCTCTATGAGGTAAAACAAGGCGGCGCCTTGATACCTTCTTAACTTTCACCTTCTGTGTGTGTTCAACTCTGCACCCCTGGTGGGTTGAGTCACGCTCAGTGTGGTGAGTATTAGCACGTTCAAAGGGTGTGGGGGCGCCGATACACTGGGCACCTTCATGACCGTGGTAATCGGGCCCTCCGTGAACGCAGCATGGGTCTGAATCGCACTAACCGAGACCTTAGTCTGCGATAGTGCGCCATCCCCAACTAGCGGCTGCGTCATCATGTCTCCTGACTGAGACTGCAGCCTGCTATGAGAGGCACTCACTACAGTACTCCTTGGAGTCTGTAATGTGAGGTCTCTTTGAGATAAACCAAGACGGCGTCTAGGTATTATTCCTCCTTTCACCTCCTGTGTGCGTTCAGCTCTGCACCTCTGGTGGGCTGAACTACACTCAGTGTGGTGAGCCTGGGCGCGTTCAGAAAAAGGTGGGGGCACCGATACACTGGGCACCTTCGTGACCGTGGTAATCGGGCCCTTCTTGAACGCAGCATGGGTCTGGGTCGTACTAACAGAGACCTTAGTCTGTGATAGTGCGCCATCCCCAATGTGGTTATTATCAGCGCGTTCTGAGAGAAAACGGGGGCGCCGATACGTTGGTTACGCCCGTAACCGTAGTAATCAGGCCCTCCGTGAACGCAGCACGGGTCTGAACTGCACTGACTGAGGCGTTAGCCTGAGACAGAGCGCCGTCCCGAATAGCGGTCGCGTCATCATGCCATCATCTGGCTGAGACTGCAGCCTGCTATGTGAGACACTCACTACAGCACTCCTAGGAGTCTGTAAAGTGAGGTCTTTATAAGGTACACTTAATACCTTTTATATACCTGCCTTATGTGTGCATTCAGCAACGCACCATGGTGGGCCCTTCAGGTGATGCCAGGATGACGCTTTAATGACCTCTCTCGCCGGCACCTCTGGCGCTGCAGGGGGGGGGCGAGGCCCGCTCCCTTGCTGCTGGAGGCCGCCGTCTGACGCCAAGCTGTAGCGAGAGTAACGGCCGCCCTTCCTCATATCCACTTCCGGGTTGGAGGGAATGGGGGGCAGCTTAATCTCCCGCTGTTTAGCAGCCCACTCAATGAGACCTGAGAATTCAGGCACAGAGAGGCTGTGGCGTCATCATCCAGGGATGTAATGACCTCACAATTTCCCGAAGGAAAAGGGGTGTTAAACATCTGGGTCAGTGTAATGAATTGTTCCAATAGAATATTCATTTCTTCCCCAATAGCCCTGTCATCTCCTGAGTCAGCGCCTTCAGATGATGCCTCAGAAGCTGAGACTAACACTGATAGCACATCCTCAAGAGGAATATCCTCCCTAAAAATGCCCAACGCTGCTTCCACTCCTTCAAAAAAGGAGGGCGCAGCTGGCGCATAGTGGGGGATTAATGAAGCTGTCCCTGGCGTGCTGTGTCCCTCAACCCACGAAACATATGTTGGGGGGGTCGACAGCCGCCAAGGGGAACAGCGACATTGAGCTCTGAAAAGAGCTTTTGTTAAATACTTACCCTATGCATAAGCTTGGTGTGCTCATTGTAGGATGACGTCGATGATCTGGAAAATCGACGGCGTTTTCTTCGTCCTGAGTCTTCTCTTCGTCTCTTCTTGGCTTCTTCAGTCTAGTCCAGTCGCTGAAGAAAAAGGGAGGCTGATTGAGGGGAGGCACCCCCTCTTATAGGGACACCTGTACTCCTATTGGCTGTAGGTGTGTGCATAATTTTGTCTCAGGCTGCTGCTGCCTTAGGGCAGAGGGTAAACCATTAGGAGCAGAGCTCCCCTATGGGGCGGAGCTCCACGATATAGAACTTATATTTCACCGAGTCGTGGCTGACGACATTGATAACATACAGCTGGCGGGATATACGCTACATCGGCAGGATAGAACGGCTGACTCCGGTAAGACAAGGGGTGGCGGTCTGTGTATATTTGTAAACAACAGCTGCTGCATAAAATCTAATACTAGGGAAGTCTCAAGGTTTTGCTCGCCTGAGGTAGAGTATCTCATGATAAGCTGTAGACCACACTATTTACCAAGAGAGTTTTCATCTATATTTTTTAGTTAGTATTTCGTATTTTGACTGTCAGCCTGTTTTTGGAGACTTATTTGCTCCGCCTGTCTTTTATCGTGATAAGTCCATTATTTTGTATCCTGGCTTCGGGACCACCAGTAAAGATCCTTGTTTCACCATCTCTGCCTACTGCCTACTGTCTATCCTGCCTCACACCAACCCTTACAGTTACTCCCTCTTCCGGGATGGCTACAAGGCCCTCCCCCGCCCTCCCTTTGGCAAATCAGATCACGACTCCAGCCTGCTCCTCCCTTCCTATAGGCAGAAACTCAAACAGGAAGTACCCCTGCTAAAGTCTATACAACGCTGGTCTGACCAATCGGAATCCGCGCTTCAAGATTGTTTTGATCACGGACTGTGGCCGAAGTGAGTAAGACATTGAAGCATGTTAACCCTCGCAAGGCTGCCGGCCCAGACGGCATCCCTAGCCGTGTCCTTAGAGCATGCGTAGACCAGCTGGCTGGAGTGTTTACGGACATATTTGATCTCTCCTTATCCCATTCTGCTGTCCCCATTTGCTTCAAGATGTCCACCATTGTTACTGTACCCAAAAAAGCAAAGTTAACTGAACTAAATGACTATCGCCCCTTAGCACTCACTTCTGTCATCATGAAGTGCTTTGAGAGGATAGTTAAGGATTATATCACCTCCACCTTACCTGACACCCTAGACCCACTTAATTTTGCATACCGCCCCAATAGATCCACAGACGATGCAATCGCCATCGCACTGCACACTGCCCTATCCCATCTGGACAAGAGGAATACCTATGTAAGAATGCTGTTCATTGACTATAGCTCAGCCTTCAACACCATAGTCCCCTCCAAGCTCGTGGCCCTGGGTCTGAACCCCACCCTGTGCAACTGGGTCCTGGACTTCCTGACGGGCCGCTCCCAGGTGGTGAAGTTAGGAAACAACACCTCCACTACACAGATCCTCAACACAGGGGCCCCACAATGGTGCGTGCTCAGCCCCCTCCTGTACTCCCTGTTCACCCATGACTGCGTGGCCATGCACGCCTCCAACTCAATCATCAAGTTTGCAGACGACACAGCAGTAGTAAGCCTGATTACCAACAATGACGAGACAGCCTACAGGGAGGAGGTGAGGGCCCTGGCGGAGTGGTGCCAGGAAAATAATCTCTCCCTCAACGTCAACAAAACGAAGGAGCTGATTGTGGACTTCATGAGACAGCAGAGGGAGCACGTCCCTATCCACATCAACGGGACCACAGTGGAGAAGGTGAAAAGCTTCAAGTACACATCATTGACAATCCCTAGCCACATCCTCAGCGCCTCTTCAACCTCAGGAGGCTGAAGAATTTTAGCTTGGCCCCTAAGACCCTCACAAACTTTTACAGACGCACAATTGAATGCATCCTGTCGGGCTGTATCACCGGCAGGTACGGCAACTGCACCGTCCGCAACCGCAGGGCTCTTCAGAGGGTGGTGCGGTCTGCCCAACGCATCACCGGGGGCACACTGCCTGTCCTCCAGGATACCTACAGCACCCGATGTCACAGGAAGGCCAAAAATATCATCAAGGACATCAACCACCTGAGCCACGGTGCATCAAAGCTGGGACCGAGAGACTGAAAAACAGCTTCTATCTCAAGGCCATCAGACTGTTAAATAGCCATCACTAGACGGCTTCCATCTGGTTACTCAACCCAGCACCTTAGAGGCTGCTGCCCTATGTACATAGACATGGAATCACTGGCCACTTTAATAATGGAACACTAGTCACTTTAATAATGTTTACATACTGCTTTACTCATTTCATGTGTATATACTGTATTCTACTGTATTTTAGTGAATGCCATTATGACATTGCTCATCCTAATATTTATATATTTCTTAATTCCATTCTTTTACTTTTAAATTTGTGTGTATTGTTGTGAATTGTTAGATACTACTGCACTGTTGGCGCTAGGAACACAAGCATTTCGCTACACCCGCAATAACATCTGCTAAATATGTGTATGTGACCAATAAAATGTGATTTGATTTGATTTGACTGTTGTACTCCAATTGTCTTGCTTAGACACCTTCAAATTATTGTCAAATTATTGTCATTATTGTCACATACTGTCACGCCCTGGCTCTGGGGACTCTTATATGTTGAGCCAGGGTGTTAGTTTATATGTGTAGTGTCTATGTTTTGTTTTCTATGTGTTCTTTTCTTGATTGTGTGTTTCTGTGTTGGCCGGGGTGGTTCCCAATCGGAGGCAGCTGTGTCTTGTTGGCTCTGATTGGGAACCATACTTAGGCAGCCTGTTGTGCACTTGTCATTTGTGGGATCTTGTTCCGTGTAGGTTTGTGTTTATGACCGAGGACTTCACGTTTCATTTTGTTGTTTTGTTATTGTTAATAGTACTCAATAAAAGATGTACGCATTTCACGCTGCGCCTTGGTCCGTTGCTTACGACGATCGTGACACATACACATATTCAGTCTGTTCCTATTTCTAATGCTCAAATTTCCAAATCAGGAACCTATGGTAAAGGTCAAAATAGATTCTATATAAATAAAAGGTATTTGAAACTGTTATTGATACAAATAAAATGTAATAAAATTTTATTGGTCACATGTGCCGAATATAACAGGTGTTGACCTTGAAATCATTACTTACAAGCCCGTAACCAACAATGCAGTTAAGAAAAATAAGAGTTAAGAAAATATTGACTAAATAAACTAAAGTTTTAAAAAAGTAACAAAATAAAATAACAATAACGAGGCTATATACAGGGGGTACCGAGTCAATGTGCAGGGGTACAGGTTAGTCGAGGTAATTGAGGTAAAATGTACATCATGTCAATGTGTTAATGTCAGAAATCTAAATACACTATATTCATTGGTGCTTTAATAATGGTATACTTGTTGCTGTTCATCAAGTCTGTCTATCCTTTATCTGATGTTCACTGATCTGATGTCCTAGGGACATCCAGGACCTCGTGCACAACAAGGGCCCAAGGGATCCAAAGGAGATCAAGTAAGGATGTCAAACATTATCACCATATTTGTTGCACACACCTAAACATTGCATAGTCTTTGTGTTTGGGTGTGTCTGTGAGTGAAAATCTGAATGTATGCCTGTGTGCTGTCGTCTTTCTGCCACGTAAAGTTTGGCGTGTTGATCTGCTTTTCATTTCTCTTATGTCCAGAAGATCAGTTCAAATCTAAACATGTAGCCGTGTTTATTGTTCTATCTGTCAACATGTTACTTACTGAACTGTGCAGATAGTGCACATTTATCCACATATGACCCTGACTCTTAACTATACACAACTCATACCGGGGCATTAGCCATTCTCATGCCATTTTGACAGGGCCTTTCGCCATTTCTATGTGAATTTAGTATTGTTTGTTTTTTTCAGTTTTTCTCTCTTTCTCTCTCTCGCTCTCTCTTTCATTCTCTGTTTAGGGTCAGAAAGGCAAACCGGGTCAGAGAGGAGAATCTGGAAGCAGAGGATCGCTGGTAAGGAGTAGATTTCTCTCTGGTCCTGTCTCTAGTCCATGGCTGATTATGTTATCAGCATTTTGTTTAGGCTACATTTCAGTCTTCATATATTTACATTTACAATTACGTCATTTAGCAGACGCTCTTATCCAGAGCGACTTACAAATTGGTGCATTCACCTTATAGCCAGTGGGATAACCACTTTACAATGTGTTTTTATTTTTTTGTTTTTTGTTTTTATATTTTTTATTATTATTATTATTATTATTATTATTATTATTATTTATTTATTTTTTGGGGGGGGGGTGGTTTGGGGTAAGGGAGGGGTAGAAGGATTACTTTATCCTATCCCAGGTATTCCTTAAAGAGGTGGGGTTTCAAATGTCTCCGGAAGGTGGTGAGTGACTCCGCTGTCCTGGCGTCGTGAGGGAGCTTGTTCCACCATTGGGGTGCCAGAGCAGCGAACAGTTTTGACTGGGCTGAGCGGGAACTATGCTTCCGCAGAGGAAGGGGAGCCAGCAGGCCAGAGGTGGATGAACGCAATGCCCTCGTTTGGGTGTAGGGACTGATCAGAGCCTGAAGGTACGGAGGTGCCGTTCCCCTCACAGCTCCATAGGCAAGCACCATGGTCTTGTAACAGATGCGAGCTTCAACTGGAAGCCAGTGGAGTGTGCGGAGGAGGGGGGTGACGTGAGAGAACTTGGGAAGGTTGAACACCAGACGGGCTGCGGCATTCTGGATGAGTTGTAGGGGTTTAATGGCACAGGCAGGGAGCCCAGCCAACAGCGAGTTGCAGTAATCCAGACGGGAGATGACAAGTGCCTGGATTAGGACCTGTGCCGCTTCCTGTGTAAGGCAGGGTCGTACTCTCTGAATGTTGTAGAGCATGAACCTACAGGATCGGGTCACCGCCTTGATGTTAGCGGAGAACGACAGGGTGTTGTCCAGGGTCACGCCAAGGCTCTTCGCACTCTGGGAGGAGGACACAACGGAGTTGTCAACCGTGATGGCGAGATCATGGAACAGGCAGTCCTTCCCCGGGAGGAAGAGCAGCTCCGTCTTGCCAAGGTTCAGCTTGAGGTGGTGATCCATCATCCATACTGATATGTCTGCCAGACATGCAGAGATGTGATTCGCCACCTGGTTATCAGAAGGGGGAAAGGAGAAGATTAGTTGTGTGTCGTCAGCGTAGCAATGACAGGAGAGGCCATGTGAGGATATGACAGAGCCAAGTGACTTGGTGTATAGCGAGAATAGGAGAGGGCCTAGAACTGAGCCCTGGGGGACACCAGTGGTGAGAGCACATGGTGCGGAGACAACTTCTCGCCACGCCACTTGGTAGGAGCGACCGGTCAGGTAGGACGCAATCCAAGAGTGAGCCGCGCCGGAGATGCCCAGCTCGGAGAGGGTGGAGAGGAGGATCTGATGGATGATATATCACAGCATGCTGTATTTCGGCTAATGGTTGGACATGACCTCATGTTTTCTAAAGGTTTTCATGGCTGATCTTCAAAACTTGAGTGGAACAAAAACAGCATAGACAGAACTGTCATAGACTATCATAGAGAGAAACGGGTTTGTTTGCTAAAGTTCAAATCAGAGTTTGGTTGTGCATCTCACCTTGATTTCAATTGCACTGTTTGTCAGACATCACTTATGTAGCATCATATTTTTTAAAACCAACTTATGAGCGGGTTTTAGAAGATATAAATCATAATGTATCAAGGAATATAAGCAACATTCTTTACACATTAGCATATTATTATACAACATTAACTTAATACACCATTTGACAATTATTTAGCCTAAGCCTACTTTGACATAGGCCTAATGCAAAAACAATTTTAAAAGACTTGCACCCTACAAAGGCCTAGATTCAATCAGTTCAGCGTTAACCCGTGATAACCGACACCTGCATAGCAGATCATTGTTTTTATTTAGGCAGTATATCAGAGGTGTAAATGCGTTGGAGCTGTCAAATTGGTGAGTGGCTGCTCTTGTGGTCATTGCCACTAAGCCACAACCAACTCGCGTTAGAAGTTCAGAACAAGAAAGTGTAAGGTATATAGAAATAATTACACTCAAATTTAAAATCATTAAACAAAAACATTTGGATTTCTATCAGCCTAATTGAGGTGTAGATTACATCTCACATTCCTGTGTTCGAACTTGTAGACAAGGCTGTATGGGAATTCTACTAATGCGACTCTGTGCAGCCAATGGCAATGTCCGCTTTAGGTATAATGCCGAGATGTGGGTTTGACAGCTATAATGCAGTTCTGGCAAGCGTGTGTTGGCTAGTGGGAATCTGATTGAATCTAGCCCTTAGTCTTATACTCAGCTGTGCCATACCATTCAATTTTGGTGACAGATTTTCTAGATAATCGTGTTTTCTAAAGGTTTTCATGGCTGATCTTCAAAACCTGAGTGGAACAAAAACAGCATAGACAGAACTGTCATAGAGAGAAACTGGTTTGTTTGCTAAAGTTCAAATCAGAGTTTAGTTGTGCATCTCACCTTGATTTCAATTGCACTGTTTGTCAGACGTCACTTACAGTGGGGAGAACAAGTATTTGATACACTGCCGATTTTGCAGGTTTTCCTACTTACAAAGCATGTAGAGGTCTGTAATTTTTTATCATAGGTACACTTCAACTGTGAGAGACGGAATCTAAAACAAAAATCCAGAAAATCACATTGTATGATTTTTAAGTAATTAATTTGAATTTTATTGCATGACATAAGTATTTGATCACCTACCAATCAGTAAGAATTCCGTCTCTCACAGACCTGTTAGTTTTTCTTTAAGAAGCCCTCCTGTTCTCCACTCATTACCTGTATTAACTGCACCTGTTTGAACTCGTTACCTGTATAAAAGACACCTGTCCACACACTCAATCAAACAGACTCCAACCTCTCCACAATGGCCAAGACCAGAGAGATGTGTAAGGACATCAGGGATACAATTGTAGACCTGCACAAGGCTGGGATGGGCTACAGGACAATAGGCAAGCAGCTTGGTGAGAAGGCAACAACTGTTGGCGCAATTATTAGAAAATGGAAGAAGTTCAAGATGACGGTCAATCACCCTCGGTCTGGGGCTCCATGCAAGATCTCACCTCGTGGGGCATCAATGATCATGAGGAAGGTGAGGGATCAGCCCAGAACTACACGGCAGGACCTAGTCAATGACCTGAAGAGAGCTGGGACCACAGTCTCAAAGAAAACCATTAGTAACACACTACGCCGTCATGGATTAAAATCCTGTAGCGCATGCAAGGTCCCCCTGCTCAAGCCAGCGCATGTCCAGGCCCATCTGAAGTTTGCCAATGACCATCTGGATGATCCAGAGGAGGAATGGGAGAAGGTCATGTGGTCTGATGAGACAAAAATAGAGCTTTTTGGTCTAAACTCCACTCGCCGTGTTTGGAGGAAGAAGAAGGATGAGTACAACCCCAAGAACACCATCCCAACCGTGAAGCATGGAGGTGGAAACATCATTCTTTGGGGATGCTTTTCTGCAAAGGGGACAGGACAACTGTACCGTATTGAGGGGAGGATGGATGGGGCCATGTATCGCGAGATCTTGGCCAACAACCTCCTTCCCTCAGTAAGAGCATTGAAGATGGGTCGTGGCTGGGTCTTCCAGCATGACAACGACCCGAAACACACAGCCAGGGCAACTAAGGAGTGGCTCCATAAGAAGCATCTCAAGGTCCTGGAGTGGCCTAGCCAGTCTCCAGACCTGAACTCAATAGAAAATCTTTGGAGGGAGCTAAAAGTCTGTATTGCCCAGCGACAGCCCCGAAACCTGAAGAATCTGGAGAAGGTCTGTATGGAGGAGTGGGCCAAAATCCCTGCTGCAGTGTGTGCAAACCTGGTCAAGACCTACAGGAAACGTATGATCTCTGTAATTGCAAACAAAGGTTTCTGTACCAAATATTAAGTTCTGCTTTTCTGATGTATCAAATACTTATGTCATGCAATAAAATGCAAATTAATTACATAAAAATCATACAATGTGATTTTCTGGATTTTTGTTTTAGATTCCGTCTCTCACAGTTGAAGTGTACCTATGATAAAAATTACAGACCTCTACATGCTTTGTAAGTAGGAAAACCTGCAAAATCGGCAGTGTATCAAATACTTGTTCTCCCCACTGTATGTAGCATCAGCTGAGGGGTTTCATTCCTAAACGCTATGTCCACCATTTTTTCACATTTGTGTTTTTTCATCAGAAATGAATGCTTAGGAGTCCTTTATGTGGGTGTAAAATTGTCCTGTTCTCAGATTTTTCATTAATAGTTTTTAGATATATATATCACAACCACACAACTACTATATACATTTACATTTACATTTTAGTCATTTAGCAGACGCTCTTATCCAGAGCGACTTATATCCATTGATTAGCTGGAATGGAACATTCGTATCCTGTATATTTTGCAAACTGATCTTATGTTACTGTATTGATACATTTTTTAAATATTTCTTTGTATCAGATGTATCATTTGTACAGTTCTTTATTAAAAATGAAATTATTTTTCACATTTGACTGTGTAAAACCTTGCAGTGCTGTACTAAACCTGGTTACATTGATAGTCAGCCATATTAATTATAAGATTCCTGTGATATGTGAGAAAGATACAACACCAGCTCACACCAAAAACTTGACAGGGAATACTCACACATTTGGTGCTGATGGCTCGTCCTTTTTCTTTATCCTTCTTCCTTCTTTTGTCTTTCTTCTTCCTCAGGGTGTGGTTGGTCTCCATGGCCCGAGAGGCGTGGTGGGGCGAGAGGGGCTGGAGGGCGTGCCAGGTGTAGACGGAGTCTCAGGGAAGGACGGGTCCAAAGGCATGCCAGTGAGTAGAGCATGTGGAGAGAGAGTGCCTTACCACTTGTGGAAATTTTGGTAAGGGCAGCACATTATAAATATACAACAATTCACGAAATTCAAATTCGTAGGTGTCTATGGTAAAGCAATGTGCTAGTCATGATTAAGAAGACTGTACCTAACTTAGAACCAATTATAACAATGCACTGTAATAAAGCAATGTTATACCGTGTAGTAAAGCAAAATTACACATTCATATTGCCAAAGAAAAATGGTTGAACAATTCACCAAGACACAAGAAAAACATTTGGGAACATTTATGAGAATTTGTAAGTAATTAGACAACTATTAACTTAATTAACTAGTTGAATCATGATGGCCGAAATAAATAATACGAACTAGATGGTAACTTTACAAGTAAAGTTGTGGGGGTCTTTAAAAGTATTTTTGTGGTAGTGGAAGACGTTTAAAAAGTTGTACTTTAATTATACTATTTGAATAGTGAAATAATTTCAAATGGCCATCGATAGTCAGTTGTGGTCAGTAGTTTTGGACAGTAGTTGCTGTCAGTAGTAGTGGTCAGTAGTTGTGTGGTTGTGGTCAGTAGTTGTGTGGTCAGTAGTTGTGTGGTTGTGGTCAGTAGTTGTGTGGTCAGTAGTTGAGTGGTTCAGTAGTTGTGGTCAGTAGTTGTGTGGTTGTGGTCAGTAGTTGTGTGGTCAGTAGTTGTGTGGTTGTGGTCAGTAGGTGTGTGGTCAGTAGTTGGGTGGTTGTGGTTAGTATTTGTGGTCAGTAGTTGTGGTTAGTATTTGTGTGGTTGTGGTCAGTAGGTTAGGTCAGTAGTTGTGGTCAGTAGTTGTGTGGTCAGTAGTTGTGGTCATTAGTTTTGTCTTTGTGATCAGTAGTTGTGGTCAGTAGTTGGGTGGTTGTGGTTAGCATTTGTGGTCAGTAGTTGTGGTTAGTAGTTGTGTGGTTGTGGTCATTAGGTTAGGTCAGTAGTTGTGGTCAGTAGTTGTGTGGTCAGTAGTTGTGGTCATTAGTTTTGTCTTTGTGATCAGTAGTTGTGGTCAGTAGTTGTGGTCAGTAGTGGTCAGTAGTTTTAGTAAGACGGTTGTGTGGTTCAGTAGTTGTGTGGTTGTGGTCAGTAGTTGTGTAGTTCAGTAGTTGTGGCCAGTAGTTGTGTGGTTGTGATCAGTAGTTGTAGTTAGTAGTTGTGGTCAGTAGTCGTCAGTCATTTTGTGGTCAGTAGTTGTGGTTCAGTAGTTCTGAGCAGTAGTTGTGTGGGCAGTAGTTGTGTGGTTGTATGGTTATGGTCAGTAGTTGTGGTCAGTAGTTGTATGGTCAGCTGTTGTGGTCAGTAGTTGACTTTTTCAGTAGTTGTGTGGTCAACAGTTGTGGTGTTGTGTGGTCAGTAGTTTTGTTCAGTGGTTGTGGTCAGTAGTTGTGTGGTCAGTTGTTGTGTGCTCAATAGTTATGTGGTTGTGGTCAGTAGTTGTGTGGTTCAGTAGTTTTGTGGTCACTATTTGTGTGGTTGTGGTCAGTAGTCGTGTGGTTGTGGTTAATAGTTGTAGTCAGTAGTTGTATGGTCAGCTGTTGTGGTCAGTAGTTGACTTTTTCAGTAGTTGTGTGGTCAACAGTTGTGGTGTTGTGTGGTCAGTAGTTTTGTTCAGTGGTTGTGGTCAGTAGTTGTGTGGTCAGTTGTTGTGTGCTCAATAGTTATGTGGTTGTGGTCAGTAGTTGTGTGGTTCAGTAGTTTTGTGGTCACTATTTGTGTGGTTGTGGTCAGTAGTCGTGTGGTTGTGTGTCACGATCGTCGTTACAGGAAGCGGACCAAAGCGCAGCGTGTTGCACGAACATGATGCTTTATTTAATTAAAGCGAAACACGAAACAACAAAACAAATAACGATTCGTGAAGTCCACAGTGACAATGACTGACTAGGAACAAAAACCCACAAAACACAAAGTGAAACACAGACAGTTAAATATGGCTCCCAATCAGAGACAACCAGCACACAGCTGACACTCGTTGCCTCTGATTGGGAGTCATTCATTCAAACATAGAAATGAACCCAACAGAAATACCAACATAGAAATACACCCAATGAATGAACACACCCTGGCTCAACATAATGAGTCCCAGAACCAGGGTGTGACAGTACCCCCCCCTAAAGGCGCGGACTGCGACCGCGCCTCAATAAGAGCTAAACAGGGGAGGGCTGGGTGGGCATACCTCCTCGGCGGCGGTTCTGGCTCCGGCCTTGCCCACCACCCTCCAATCAACCCCCCATAGCGCCCCTGGTCCGGTCTGACCCCGCTGGCTGGATCTGGACTGGACATTGACGGAGCGGATTGCTTACGCTCCGTTGTGGAGCAGCTGACCGGTCTTACCAGGCTGACGACTCGCACCCCTGGCTTGGTGCGAGTGGCAGGAACGGGCTGGACCAGGCTGACGACTCGCACCCCTGGCTTGGTGCGAGTGGCAGGAACGGGCTGGACCAGGCTGACGACGCACACCGTAGGCTTGGTGCGTGGAGCAGGGACAGGCCGGGCTGGGCTGTCGACGCACACCGTAGGCTTGGTGCGTGGAGCAGGGACAGGCCGGACAGGACTGTCGACGCACACCGTAGGCTTGGTGCGTGGAGCAGGGACAGGCCGGGCTGGGCTGGCGACGCACACCGTAGGTTTGGTGCGTGGAGCAGGAACAGGCCGGGCTGGGCTGGCGACGCACACCGTAGGCTTGGTGCGTGGAGCAGGAACAGGCCGGGCAGGGCTGTCGACGCACACTGTAGGCTTGGTGCGTGGAGCAGGGACAGGCCGGGCTGGGCTGGCGATGCACACCGTAGGTTTGGTGCGTGGAGCAGGGACAGGCCGGGCTGGGCTGGCGACGCACACCGTAGGCTTGGTGCGTGGAGCAGGAACAGGCCGGGCAGGGCTGTCGACGCACACCGTAGGCTTGGTGCGCGGAGCAGGGACAGGCCGGGCAGGGCTGGCGACGCACACCGTAGGTTTGATGCGTGGAGCAGGGACAGGCCGGGCTGGGCTGGCGACGCACACCGTAGGTTTGATGCGTGGAGCAGGGACAGGCCGGGCTGGGCTGGCGACGCACACCGTAGGTTTGGTGCGTGGAGCAGGGACAGGCCGGGCTGGGCTGGCGACGCACACCGTAGGCTTGGTGCGTGGAGCAGGAACAGGCCGGGCAGGGCTGTCGACGCACACCGTAGGTTTGGTGCGTGGAGCAGGGACAGGCCGGACCGTACTGGGAACACACACCACTGGCTTTAAATGGGGATCAGGAACGGGCCGGACCGGACTGGCAATACACCTCAGTCCCTCTCGCCGTGCCTCTACGACTTCCTTCCCTCCTCTCGCCAATGGCTCCCGTAACCCGGTGGCCTTCTCTCCTCTTCTCCTATTTCGCCCTGTGGCAGCCTCCTGCTGCCCAGTGGCCCATGCCGTGTGCCCCCCCCTAAAAAATTCTTGGGGGTGCCTCTCGTCCGTCCGACGATGGCACTGCTGATGCCGCTGCTCCTCTCTCGCCAGGGCCTTGATCCTACCCCAAGGTCCCTTGCCCCCGAGCATGTCCTCCCAGGACCACACTTTGCCCACCTGGGCCATCGCCAGCCTCTCCATCTCCTTTCCTGGCGCTTCCTCCCATGACCAGGCTGCCTGCTCCTGGACACGCTGCTTGGTCGTTGTATGGTGGGTTTTTCTGTCACGATCGTCTAGTAGCGAAGTAGACCAAGGCGCAGCGTGTGAAATAAACATGACTTTATTTAATTAAAGTTTCTAACTACAAACAAAACACGATTCGTGAAGTCCACAGTGACAATGACTGACTAGGAACAAAAACCCACAAAACACAAAGTGAAACACAGACAGTTAAATATGGCTCCCAATCAGAGACAACCAGCACACAGCTGACACTCGTTGCCTCTGATTGGGAGTCATTCATTCAAACATAGAAATGAACCCAACAGAAATACCAACATAGAAATACACCCAATGAATGAACACACCCTGGCTCAACATAATGAGTCCCAGAACCAGGGTGTGACATTGTGGTTAGTAGTTGTGGTCAGGAGTTGTGTTCAGTAGTTGTGTGGTTGTGGTCAGTAGTTGTGTGGTTCAGTAGTTGTGTGGTTGTGGTCAGTAGTTGTCTTTTTCAGTAGTTGTGTGGTCAATAGTTGTGTTGTTGTGGTCAGTAGTTGTGTGGTTGTGGTTAGTAGTTGTGGTCAGGAGTTGTGTTCAGTAGTTGTGTGGTTGTGGTCAGTAGTTGTGTGGTCAGTTGTTGTGTGGCTGTGGTCAGTAGTTGTCTTTGACAGTAGTTGTGTGTCAATAGTTGTGTGGTTGTGGTCAGTAGTTGTGTGGTTAGTAGTCTTGTGTTCACTATTTGTGTGGTTGTGGTCAGTAGTTGTGTGGTTCAGTAGTTGTGTGGTTCAGTAGTTGTGTGGTCAGTAGGTGTGGTCATTAGTTGTATGGTTATGGTCAGTAGTTGTGGTCAGTAGTTGTGTGGTCAGCTGTTGTGGTCAGTAGTTGACTTTTTCAGTAGTTGTGTGGTCAACAGTTGTGGTGTTGTGTGGTCAGTAGTTTTGTTCAGTGGTTGTGGTCAGTAGTTGTGTGGTCATGTGGTTGTGGTCAGTAGTTGTGTGGTTCAGTAGTTTTGTGGTCACTATTTGTATGGCTGTGGTCAGTAGTCATGTGGTTGTGGTTAGTAGTTGTGGTCAGGAGTTGTGTTCAGTAGTTGTGTGGTTGTGGTCAGTAGTTGTGTGGTTCAGTAGTTGTGTGGTTGTGGTCAGTAGTTGTCTTTTTCAGTAGTTATGTGGTCAATAGTTGTGTTGTTGTGGTCAGTAGTTGTGTGGTTGTGGTTAGTAGTTGTGGTCAGGAGTTGTGTTCAGTAGTTGTGTGGTTGTGGTCAGTAGTTGTGTGGTCAGTTGTTGTGTGGTTGTGGTCAGTAGTTGTCTTTTTCAGTAGTTGCCTGGTCAATAGTAGTGTTAATGGGGTCAGTAGTTGTGTGGTCAGTAGTTTTGTTCAGTGGTTGTGGTCAGTATTTGTGTGGTCAGTTGTTGTGTGGCTGTGGTCAGTAGTTGTCTTTGTCAGTAGTTGTGTGTCAATAGTTGTGTGGTTGTGGTCAGTAGTTGTGTGGTTAGTAGTCTTCTGGTCACTATTTGTGTGGTTGTGGTCAGTAGTTGTGTGGTTGTGGTCAGGAGTTGTGGTCAGTAGTTGTGGTCAGTAGTTGTGGTAATTGTGTTGTGGTCAGTAGTTGTGTGGTCAGTAGTTGTGGTCAGTAGTTGTGGTCAGTAGTTATGGTCAGTAGGTGTGGTCAGTAGTTGTGTTGTGGTCAGTAGTTGTGGACAGGAGTTGTGTAGTCAGTAGCTGTGTAGTTGTTGTCAGTAGTTGTGTGGTTGTGGTCAGTAATTGTGGTCAGTAGTTGTGGTCTGTAGTTGTGTTGTAGTGAGTAGTTGTGGTTGTGGTCAGTAGTTATCTTTTTCAGTAATTGCTAGGTCAATAGTTGTGTGGATGTGTTGTCTGTAGTTTTGTTCAGTGGTTGTGGTCAGTAGTTGTTTGGTCAGTTGTTGTGTGGTTGTAGTCAGTACTTGTCTTTGTCAGTAGTTGTGTGGTCAATAGTTGTGTGTTTGTGGTCAGTAGTTGTGTTGTAGTGAGTAGTTGTGGTTGTGGTCAGTAGTTATCTTTTTCAGTAATTGCGAGGTCAATAGTTGTGTGGTTGTGTTGTCTGTAGTTATGTGGTTATGGTCAGTAGTTGTGGTCAGGAGTTTTGTTCAGTGGTTGTGGTCAGATGATGTGTGGTTCAGTGGTTGTGGTGAGTAGTTGTCTTTTTCAGTAGTTGTGGAGTCAATAGTTGTGTTGTGTGGTCAGTAGTTTTGTTCAGTGGTTGTGGTCAGTAGTTGTTTGGTCAGTTGATGTGTGGTGGTGGTCAGTACTTGTCTTTGTCAGTAGTTGTGTGGTCAATAGTTGTGTGTTTGTGGTCAGTAGTTGTGTTGTTCAGTAGTTGTGTGGTCACTATTTGCGTGGTTGTGGTCAGTAGTTGTGTGGTTCTTCTCAGTAGTTGAGGTCAAGAGTTATGTGGTTGTGGTTAGGAGTTGTGGTCAGGAGTTGTAGTCAGTAGTTGTGGTGTGGTCAGTAGTTGTGGTCAGTAGTTGTGTGGTTAGTAGCTGTGTGGTTGTGGTCAGTAGTTCTGGGGTTGTGGTCTGTTGTAGTGATGTTGTAGTGAGTAGTTGTTGTCAGTAGTTGTGTGGTCAGTTGTTGTTTGGTTGTGGCCAGTAGTTGTCTTTTTCAGTAGTTGTAGTAGCTGGCATGTATAGTGTTGAGTCATATGCATACATAGACATACTGGCTTTACTCAAGGCCAATGGCATGTCGTTAGTAAATATTGAAAAAAGTAAGGGGCCTAGACAGCTGCCCTGGGGAATTCCTGATTCTACCTGGATTATGTTGGAGAGACTTCCATTAAAGAACACCCTCTGTGTTAGACAGGTAACTCTTTCTCCACAATATAGGAGGGGGTGTAAAGCCATAACAAATATGTTTTTCCATCAGCAGACTATGATGGATAATGTCAAAAGCTGCACTGAAGTCTAATAAAACAGCTCCCACAATCTTTTTATTATCAATTTCTCTCAACCAATCATCAGTAATTTGTGTAAGTGCTTATTGAATGTCCTTCCCTACACTTACCTATAAACAATTTCAAAGATTTTGTTGAGTTACAGTTCATATAAGGAAATCAGTCAATTTGTATAAATTCATTAGTCCCTAATCTATGGATTTCACATGACTGGGCAAGGGCGCAGCTAGGGATGGGCCTGGGATGGCATAGGCCCACCAACTTGGGAGCCAGGCCAACCCACTGGGAAGCCAGGCCCAGCCAATCAGAATGAGTTTTTCCACACAAAAGGGCTTTATTACAGACAGAAATACCCCTCTGCACCCCCCTTATTGTGCATATGGATCATTTCTGGGATCTTTTATTTCAGCTCATGAAACATGGGACCAGCACTTTACATGTTGCGTTTATATTTTTGTTCAGTGTACTTTTGCTTCCCTCCAGGCCTGAGGGCACACACTTTCTAGTAGGCTTAGATTGACGATATCGCATATAAGAGTGGCAATATCGTCCGCTATTATCCTCAGTAATATTCCATCCAAGTTGTCAGACTACGGTGCCTTGTCAGACGAGCTAAATGCCTTTTATGCTCGCTTTGAGGCTCCCCAGTGGGTGCGCCTGGCTCCCAAGTGGGTGGGTTTATGCCCTCCCAGGCCCACCCATGGCTGCACCCCTACCCAGTCATGTGAAATCCATAGATTAGGGAATAATGAATTTATTTGAATTGACTGATTTCCTTATATGAACTGACTCAGTCAAATTGTTGAAGTTGTTTCATGTTGCGTTTATATTTTTGTTCAGTATAGAAAGTTGATGGGTTACTAAAACAGATTTATCTACTGATTGGTGACACTATTCCTATTATTTTCTGATTTGAAAAGCAGGGAAGGCGAGGAAGATTTCATACGCTCTAAGTTTTTGTCTGACATGTTGGGGGAGTGGTCAAAAACGGCAGTTGTTTGGAAAAAGTTGGGACAAAATGTGTTAACACAGTTACTAAAACAGCTGTATCATTAGAGCCATAGTGGATATTTTGGTTCCGTAGCCAGATTTGAATAGCAGAGAAGTAGACGAAGATGTCAGACCCTCTAACTTTTTGTCGAACTTGTTGGGGAAGTGGTCAAAACATCCAAAAAGTTACAGAAGATGTTGTTGATGCGGTTACCAAAACAGCTGTATTGTTAGATCCGTATCGGATATTTCTGTTATTATTTCAAATTTGAATAGCAGACAAGTAGACCAAGATGTCATACCCTCTAACTTTTTGTCTAAGTTATTAGAAAAGTGGTCAAAGTAGCTGATTTGTGTCAAAAGTTGTATTATAAACTGGGTGGTTCGAGCCCTGAATGCTGATTGGCTGACAGCCATGGTATATCAGACCGCATACCATGCGTATGACAAAACATGTATTTTTACTGCTCTAATTACATTGGTAAACAGTTTATAATAGCAATAAGGCACCTCGGGGGTTTGTGATATATGGCCAATATACCACGGCTAAGGGCTGTGTCCAGGCAATCCGCGTTGCGTCATGCATAAGAACAGCCATTAGCTGTGCTATATTGGCCATATACCACACCTCCTCGGACCTTATTGCTTAATTGTTGCATTATCAGTGAATGGAAGTTGGAAGTGATGATGTCACAATGGGGAGCTTTAGAATGTTGAGGAACTGCCATGAAAATAAGGACAAAAAAAAGTATAAAAATATATCAAAAAGTTATATACAAGCAACTCAAGCGAGACCATTCTCCACGTTTTAAAGTTTGAACGGCATTTCTAGCTTAAACGGTGTAAGAGGAGTAGCGTGCTAAAGAATAATAATAAGAAGAAGCAGTATGTCGAAGATGGAAGCTGGGGCTCCTGCTTCGCATTCTCCACAATAAGAATACCCAATGAATAATAATGATAAACAGGACAATACAGTACAAAAAATATACTCTCTCTCTCTCTGTAGGGCGAGCATGGTGACGATGGTGAGTTCGGTCTCCCTGGCATAGCTGGTTACCGTGGAAAAGTGGGCGGGCCGGGACTGCCGGGCGATCAGGGAACCTTCGGACCAAAGGTAAGAGAGATGGAAATGGTGTATTTGAGTGTATGGAGGAAGGGTTTTCATCACGGTGTAAACATAGGCTAAGGATAAGTGAATGACAATTCCAATTCAATAATTGTAAAATGGTCATTAAATCCTTTTCGATTCATCCCCTGAATTAAAATGTAATTAAGCCCAACTTAAAGAATGTCTTGATTCTAGAAACATTACTGGAACGTTATTGTTGAGTAATAGGCACCTACTCCATACTACTATTCTTCATGTCAGTTGGCTCTATGTGATTTCTTCCCCCAGGGTGAAAGGGGCCTCCAAGGCCAGGCAGGACCCTCGGGGAAGAGAGGCTTTAAGGGTGGGATGGGACTGCCAGGGCCACAGGGGGACCAGGGGCCCAAAGGACAACCTGTAAGTTTCAGCCACCTCACAACAGTTATATAGATCAATATTGACATTGATGATACTGGTAATGCTCACATAGCATGGTTCCTGTAATAGGTTTCTTCTCTTTTCTGATGTAGGTCTATTGATGGATGTTGTTGCCCCCCATTGTTGGGGCCACATCTTAACTGGTGTTTTTGCTCTGTTTCAGGGCGATACAGGAGAACCAGGTTTTCCAGGAATACTGGGAGTTTTTGGACCAACGGTGGGTTCATACACACATGCACATGTCAGGCAGCTGAGGGGTATATGTAATGTAGCCGAACTACACCACCTATGTGTGGTTATGAGCCCTAGGAACACAGATAAGTTAGAATAAGACAGGGGTCTTTTCTTGGCAGGGACAGCAGTGAAACAATTACCAAGGAGGAGATCGAGACTGGAGTAGAATACAAATACTTATTTTATTCCAGAAATGCACCAATAAAAAAGTCCTTAATAATGTTCAGGAAAAAAGTTGAGTTAGCAAAAAACAGTGTCCTTCCACCGCCAGTAGATGGCGACCTCGTACCACACAGTCCAGTTCAGATCTTAAAATAGCTAGGTGGGACAACCACATAAAGTGAGCTCCAAAAGTATTGGGACAGTGACACGTTTCGTTGCTTTGGCTCTGTACTCCAGCACTTAGGATTTGAAATGATACAATGATTGACGTTAAAGTGCAGACTGTCATCTTTAATTTGAGGGTATTTTCATCCAGATCTGGTGAACCATTTAGAAATTACAGCACTTTTTGTACATAGTCCCCCCATTTTAGGAGACCAAAAGTATTGGGACAAATTCACTTATATGCGTATTAAAGTAGTTAGAAGTTTAGTATTAGGTTCAATATTCCAGATTATTTTGTGCCCAATAGAAATTAATGGTAAATAATGTATTGTGTCATTTTTGAGTCACCTGTATTGTAAATAAGAAGATAATATGTTTCTAAACACTTCTACGTTAATGTGGATGCTACCATGATTACGGATAGTCCTGAATGAATCGTGAATAATGATGAGACAGAAAGTTACAGATGCACAAATATCATACCCCCAAGACATGCTAACCTCTCACCATTACAATAACAGGAGAAGTTAGCATTTGGGGTGGGGGGAGTGGTATGATATTTATGCCTCTGTAACTTTCTCACTCATCATTATTGATGATTCATTCAGGGTTGTTCATAATCATGGTAGCATCCACATTTTGACAGGGAGTCAATGCTGAGACCAAGGTCTCTTTTCCAGATGAGCCCTGTATAGCACCACACATCAAAATACAATAAACACAATACAATACACGCTATTACACACAAAAATATACGAAAAGCAAAACACAATCATAAAGAACATACACATTCTTCAGTAAAACGGTCCCCTAACAACCGTCTGAAATGCCCTAGAGGCACCAATTCCTCCAATTTGAAAGTGTAATGTAGATCATTCCACACATGAGGTGTAAGGAAATTAAAGGCTAATTTACCTAACTCTCTAGACTCTGAATGAGTCTCCAGAGTTAACCAACCCTGTGAACAGGTTTGAGAACTTGTTAGGTAAGTCGGAGGTTTGTGGAGCAGGGCTTTGAAAGCAAAAAGAGCGTAATTATGTGATTTATGTGACGCCAACCTTTTGGTAAAGAAAACAGTGATGAGTAATAAAACTGTCTCGTGATAAAACGAAAGGCACTATAAAAAATGAATCCAAGGGTTTAAGAGTAGAGGCAGCTGCACTTTAATAAATAGTATCACCATAATCAAGAACAGGTAGAAAGGTTGACTGCACAATCTGCTTCCTGCTGACTAGAGAGAGACAAGATCTGTTTCTGTAAAAAAAAAGCCAGCTTTAAATCTTATTTTTTTAACAAGCTCAGTCGTATGTTTTTTAAACGATAAATCATTATCAACCCAAATACCAAGATATTTCTATGCAGGGACTCGTTCGATTATAGAACATTCCGATGAGTAAATATGCAATCCAACTGATATAGTCTTACAAGAACTTGAGACAACATGTATTTAGTTTTGCCCATATTAAATACGAATTTAAATCAGTAAGGGCTTCCTGCACAACTGCAAAATCGGAATGTAGCCTTGTCACAGCCAGTTCAGCAGTCGGGGCAATTGTGTACATCCACATACAGTGAGGGAAATAAGTATTTGATCCCCTGCTGATTTTGTACGTTTGCCCACTGACAAAGAAATTATCAGTCTATCATTTTAATGGTAGGTTTATTTGAACAGTGAGAGACAGCATAACAACAAAAAAATCCAGAAAAACTAATGTCAAAAATGTTATAAATTGATTTGCATTTTAATGAGGGAAATAAGTATTTGACCCCCTCTCAATCAGAAAGATGTCTGGCTCCCAGGTGTCTTTTATACAGGTAACGAGCTGAGATTAGGAGCACACTCTTAAAAGGAGTGCTCCTAATCTCAGCTTGTTACCTGTATAAAAAACACCTGTCCACAGAAGCAATCAATCAATCAGATTCCAAACTCTCCACCATGGCCAAGACCAAAGAGCTCTCCAAGGATGTCAGGGACAAGATTGTAGACCTACACAAGGCTGGAATGGGCTACAAGACCAGCTTGGTGAGAAGGTGACAACAGTTGGTGCGATTATTCGCAAATGGAAGAAACACAAAAGAACTGTCAATCTCCCTCGGCCTGGGGCTCCATGCAAGATCTCACCTCGTGGAGTTGCAATGATCATGAGAACGGTGAGGAATCAGCCCAGAACTACACAGGACGATCTTGTCAATTATCTCAAGGCAGCTGGGACCATAGTCACCAAGAAAACAATTGGTAACACACTACGCCGTGAAGGACTGAAATCCTGCAGCGCCCGCAAGGTCCCCCTGCTCAAGAAAGCACATATACAGGCCAGTCTGAAGTTTGCCAATGAACATCTGAATGATTCAGAGGAGAACTGGGTGAATGTGTTGTGGTCAGATGAGACCAAAATCGAGCTCTTTGGCATCAACTCAACTCGCCGTGTTTGGAGGAGGAGGAATGCTGCCTATGACCCCAAGAACACCATCCCCACCGTCAAACATGGAGGTGGAACCATTATGCTTTTGACAGGTCCACAAACAAAGCAGATCATTTCATTTTAGTGTCTAAAGCATTGACAAGATAATTAACAACTAAGTGCTTGCTCTAATAGTGCTATGCCCAGGCCTAAACCCTGATTGGTTTACATTCAAAATACATTTCTCAGATAAAAAATTGCAAAGTTGTAAATTTACCAAGGTTTCAAGAATCTTAGCTAGACAAGGAAGCCTTGAAATGGGGCGATAGTTATTAAGATCATGACTATACTTTGAATGGGGGGGTAATAAATGTGTTGCACATGAAGTTATACTGATTGTGTAAATGTTTGTAATTTATGTTTCCAGGGGCCTCCAGGTGACTTGGGACCAAAGGGCATACAGGGACCAAAAGGACCACAGGGCACAATGGTAAGTAGAGGCCTTTTGTAGACTAGTAATTTCCGGCATGCTATCTCTACCAAACCTGGGTTCAAGTAGTATTTGTTTTCTTTCAAATACTTTGAGGTTCAGTTTCCCGGACACAGATCAAGCCTAGTCCTGGATGAAAAAGCACTCTGGAGGTAGGGTTTTTGAGGTTGCTTTTTAGTATACGACCAGGCTTAATCTGTGTCTGGGAAACCTCCATGAGTGTTCGATTTAGCCTGCCTTAAGTGCCAGATGGCTGGGTTAGCACTTTTGGGACTATTCCATGATTGGTTCAGTGATTGCACACACAGGAGAAGGCTTTGTCTGAAACATCTGTGTGAAAAAGTATTTCCCTTGCTGCTGCTAGAGAAAATACACTAAAATAGCAGTGCCCCTGTGGCAACAAGCTTGGACCCCCTTGTGGCCCACCTAAATACGTCAGAAATAATTATCACATAATTAATTTTTGCGATCATGTTCTTTTTTTCTTTCTTTTTTTTACATCCGTTATTAGACAGTGGCAAAGAGGCACACTAAAGTAACCCAACACATTTTCTAGTGGGACTCCTGTAGGCGGAACACAACAGTATCGTACCACATTTTTTCTATTCAGAAGTTGAAAGAAATTCGGCGCGAATAATATCGTTCAAGCGAGAAGAAGGAAATAAAGAGAGGTGAGCAAAAAAATTTATATATTGTATTTGTAACATTTGTTAACTATTAAATGCATGACAGAAGTGTAACGTTAGATCAGCTAATGTTAACCTGGCCGTTTGTTACTTTCTTTGTGAATTAATTAATGGATTGGCTTGAATCCTGGGCTATGTATTAATTTGCATTGTTTTTGGTTTAGTTTTGTAGCTAATTCTAACAGTCAGGCATCGAAAATGTATGGCAATATGAAAAAGGATATAATATTTGATCAAAAATGCATGGTGCTGAGTGCTTTTACTTAAACCACACTCAGTAAACGCATTATAACGTTAAAAGGTTAGACATGAAAGCTAGCTACCTAGCAAGTCAGTTATTTTCAGTAAATTATTTAATAAGCTTGGTCCCCATTGCTTTTGCTCTATAGTTCTCACCAAAATGAAGAGAAAAAAGGATATCATGTCCTTCTTCCAAAGAAAAGACAAGGCAGAAAGTCAGACAGAGCCAGAGGGTTCAGGTGTGGAGAGAGCAGAGAGCCTGTAGAGAGAGAGCAGGAAGACTTGTCCATTGGAGAGACTGAGAGTGAAGGCATAGTAGAGCAGGAAAGTGAGACAGATGGAGAGACAGAGGCTGAGGGGGACGTAGAGGCTGAGAGTGAGAAACCAAGAGAGGAGCCATGTTCGTCCACAAGCAGTGGACCATCAGGTTTGTGATGTTGAATACATCTGTGGTTACTTGTAAAGCAGTGCAATTAGTCAGTTTATATGGTGTATAGAAATGTGTCAGTTTATGATTGAAGTGAATGATCTCATTTAACATGCTATTGGGCTTGTGATATAGATATCAGATGGATTTCAGAAGTTGTCTGATGGCTATGGTATGTGTCTAAAATTACCCAAATAGATACTTTTAATTATAGTTTTTTTTTCTTCGACAGATATCAGCAAATCCCGGGAGGACCCACCGGTGCAGCCAGTGATGAACATGTACCCAAGAACTGATGGGGGACAGGAGGAGGAGCTTCAAGGCGGCCTGGTACCACATCCACCCCTGGCTTGAATATTCGAAAAAATCTGACTCTGTGTTTTGTTACGCCTGCAGACATTTTAGCCCTCCCAAAGTCTGAGACTGTATTTGATTCAAAATTGGGTTTTAACAACTGGAAGAAGGCAACTTACAAAGAGGGGGGATTTGCAATTCATGCAAGGTCTGAGTGGCACAAACAAGCAATGATTACATGGAGAGACTATCAGAAAGCTGTAAAAAGTAATGCAACACTGGTAAATGCCCTAAACAAGGAACACAACAAACAGGTTCAAGAAAATCGGGACTATATTAAAACAATAGGAGAAGTACTACTACTTACAGCCACACAAAACATTGCACAAAGAGGACACGATGAGTCTGCAGAGTCTGATAATAAAGGGAACTTCATGGCAATTCTAGAAACAATAGCTAAGCATGACACAACTGTGAAAAAAAAAAAAAAGGTTGACTTCCATTCATAATACACAAGCAAACGGATTCAGAATGAGGTTCTGAGTTGTTTGGCAGACATGGTTCGAACAAAAACTATAGAAGAAGTGAAAGACAGTGAGGTCTTTAGCATAATGGCAGACGAAACAAAAGATGTAAAAAAAAAAAAAAGGATCAGATATCTCTAGTACTCAGGTACTATTTCAGTGGAGCTGTCCACAAGAGCTTTCTCCACTTTGAATCAGCTGATCGACTAGATGGAGCAGGGCTTACTGACAAAATCATACACATACAGTGAGCGAAAAAAGTATTTGATCCCCTGCTGATTTTGTACGTTAGCCCACTGACAAAGACATGATCAGTCTATCATTTTGATGGTAGGTTTATTTGAACAGTGAGAGACAGAATAACAACAAAAAAATCCAGAAAAACTCATTTCAAAAATTTTATAAATTGATTTGCATTTTAATGAGGGAAATAAGTATTTGACCCTTCTGCAAAACATGACATAGTACTTGGTGGCAAAACCCTTGTTGGCAATCACAGAGGTCAGACGTTTCTTGTAGTTGGCCACCAGGTTTGCACACATCTCAGGAGGGATTTTGTTCCACTCCTCTTTGCAGATCTTCTCCAAGTCATTATGGTTTCGAGGCTGATGTTTAGCAATTCGAACCTTCAACTCCCTCCACAGATTTTCTATGGGATTAAGGTCTGGAGACTGGCTAGGCCACTCCAGCACCTTAATGTGCTTCTTCTTGAGCCACTCCTTTGTTGCCTTGGCCATGTGTTTTGGGTCATTGTCATGCTGGAATTCTCATCCACGACCCATTTTCAATGCCCTGGCTGAGGGAAGGAGGTTCTTACCCAAGATTTGACGGTACATGGCCCTGTCCATCATCCCTGTGATGCGGTGAAGTTGTCCTGTCCCCTTAGCAGAAAAACACCCCCAAAGCATAATGTACCCACCTCCATGTTTGACGGTGGGGATGGTGTTCTTGGGGTCATAGGCAGCATTCCTCCTCCTCCAAACACGGCGAGTTGAGTTGATGCCAAAGAGCTCGATTTTGGTCTCATCTGACCACAACACTTTCACCCAGTTCTCCTCTGAATCATTCAGATGTTCATTGGCAAACTTCAGACGGCCCTGTATATGTGCTTTCTTGAGCAGGGGGACCTTGCGGGCGCTGCAGGATTTCAGTCCTTCACGGCGTAGTGTGTTACCAATTGTTTTCTTGGTGACTATGGTCCCAGCTGCCTTGAGATCATTGACAAGATCCTCCCGTGTAGTTCTGGGCTGATTCCTCACCGTTCTCATGATCATTGCAACTCCACGGGGTGAGATCTTGCATGGAGCCCCAGGCCGAGGGAGATTGACAGTTATTTTGTGTTTCTTCCATTTGCGAATAATCGCACCAACTGTTGTCACCTTCTCACCAAGCTGCTTGGCGATGGTCTTGTAGCCCATTCCAGCCTTGTGTAGCTCTACAATCTTGTCCCTGACATCCTTGGAGAGCTCTTTGGTCTTGGCCATGGTGGAGAGTTTGGAATCTGATTGATTGATTGCTTCTGTGGACAGGTGTCTTTTATACAGGTAACAAGCTGAGATTAGGAGCACTCCCATTAAGAGTGTGCTCCTAATCTCAGCTCGTTACCTGTATAAAAGACACCTGGGAGCCAGAAATCTTTCTGATTGAGAGGGGGTCAAATACTTATTTCCCTCATTAAAATGCAAATCAATTTATAACATTTTTGACATGCATTTTTCTGGATTTTTTTGTTGTCATTCTGTCTCTCACTGTTCAAATAAACCTACCATTAAAATTATAGACTGATAATTTCTTTGTCAGTGGGCAAACGTACAAAATCAGCAGGGGATCAAATACCTTTTTCCCTCACTGTATTAGAAAGTCATGGTCTTGAATACAAAAACAAAAACAACCTAGTAGGCCAAGCATATGACGGTGCTTCAGTTATGAGTGGCAAGCATTCAGGCGTCCAAGCACGCATTAAAGAACAAGCAAAGCATGCCTTTTACATCCACTGCAGTGCACACTGTCTAAACTTAGTGGATACAGTCAAAGCTGTCCCTGAGGTAGGACAGTTCTTCTCGTTACTAGAAAGACTATGTCTTCACATCTGGGTCATATGTGCATCAAAAATGGCTTAGCGTACAAAGAGAGATGTACCCAGGTGCACCTAGAGAGCTTCAGAGACTAAGTGACACTCGCTGGGCATGTCGATATGGTTCTACATACTATTATGGATAGATTGCCTGCCGTTAAGCGAGTCCTGCAAGACATAGTCCAAGAACACAACGGTGACAGATCTGTTGAGGCACGAGGTCTGCTTGCACAGATAGATTTACAATTCATTGTGTGCCTTGTTACACTACATAACGTTTTTGGAGAAGCAACATTTCTATCAGATATGCTACAGTCTTCATCACTTGACCTGTCAAAGGCTGTTGATTTAGTTGAAGCCTTAGTTCAAACTTTGAATGACTACAGGGATGAGTCATTTTTTGATGACCTATGGAATGAAGTGTTAAACACAGGTGAGCAAAGTGATACTGCAATACAGCCCCCTGCAAAAGGACCAAAAAAGCTAAGCTCTCAATTTAATGGAGACTGTGTACTCAGTACAGTAGGTCAGAGGTCAGATTCAGAAAAAGATAAAGACGCTTTCTTTGAGCTCTTTAAACTGTGCAAAATAGCTGTTTCAATCCCTGTTAGTACCGCTTCTTGTGAACAGAGTTTTTCTGCACTAAAGCTGGTGAAAACGTATCTTAGGTCCACAATGTCAGATGAGAGATTAAGCAATTTAGGTGTATTAAGTATTGAATGCACCAATTTGTAAGTCGCTCTGGATAAGAGCGTCTGCTAAATGACTTAAATGTAAAGTCAAGGAGGGCAAAGGCCTTGAATCTAGATGAATTTGCTGATCTTTTTAGCAAGAAACCACAAAAAACGTAGAATACAGTTGATGTAACTAAAAGTGAATATGTAATGCAAATGTAAAAATGTAATGTAAATGCAAATAATAAATTGTTGAATGATTATAAACATGTTATTTTGCCTATTAATGCCTGCAATGCAGTGAAGAAAACAACATGACAACAATAATGTCTAATGTAACTGGCCCCTCTAACAGTACAACTGGCCCCAGTTGAAATGGTCTAGAACCGCCACTGGTACCTTCGTCTCTTTTGAAAGAAAAATAAGCTATTTGAACCCAGGTCGAGGCCAGTATGCATAAAAGATCTTAAAATATTTTTAAGAATACTCTAAAATAGTGCTACACATTTTTACCAAAGAGTAGTTTTTTTTGTTGTTGTTTTTTTCCCACCTTTATTTAACAAGGTAAGCTAGTTGAGAACAAGTTCTCATTTACAACTGCGACCTAGCCAAGATAAAGCAAAGCAGTGCGATAAAAACAACAACAACACAGAGTTACATATGGAATAAACAAAAACGTACAGTCAATAACACAATAGAAAATAGAAAATCTATATACAAGGTGTGCAAATGTAGTAAGTTATGGAGGTAAGGCAATAAATAGGCCATAGTGCAAAATAATTACAATTTAGTATTAACACTGGAGTGATAGATGTGCAGAAGATGATGTGCAAATAGAGAAACTGTGGTGCAAATGAGCAAAATAAGTAACAATGTAAATAACAATATGGGGATGAGGTAGTTGGGTGGGCTGATTACAGATGGGCTGTGTACAGGTACAGTGATCGGTAAGCTGCTCTGACAACTGATGCTTAAAGTTAATGAGGGAGATAAGTGTCTCCAGCTTCAGAGATTTTTGTAGTTCGTTCCAGTCATTTGCAGCAGAGAACTGGAAGGAATGGCGGCCAAAGGAGGTGTTGGCTTTGGGGATGACCAGTGAGATATACCTGCTGGAGTGCGTACTACGGGTGGGTGTTGCTATGGTGACCAATGATCTAAGATAAGGTGGGGATTTGACTAGAAGTGATTTATAGATGACCTGGAGCCAGTGGGTTTGGCGACGAGTATGTAGTGAGGGCCAGCCAACGAGAGCGTACAGGTCACAATGATGGGTAGTATACAGTGAGGGAAAAAAGTATTTGATCCCCTGCTGATTTTGTACGTTTGCCCACTGACAAATAAATTATCAGTCTATAATTTTAATGATAGGTTTATTTGAACAGTGAGAGACAGAATAACAACAACAAAAAATCCAGAAAAACGCATGTCAAAAATGTTATAAATTGATTTGCATTTTAATGAGGGAAATAAGTATTTGACACCCTCTCAATCAGAAAGATTTCTGGCTCCCAGGTGTCTTTTATGCAGGTAACGAGCTGAGATTAGGAGCACACTCTTAAAGGGAGTGCTCCTAATCTCAGCTTGTTACCTGTATAAAAGACACCTGTCCACAGAAGCAATCAATCAATCAGATTCCAAACTCTCCACCATGGCCAAGACCAAAGAGCTCTCCAAGGATGTCAGGGACAAGATTGTAGACCTACACAAGGCTGGAATGGGCTACAAGACCATCGCCAAGCAGCTTGGTGAGAAGGTGACAACAGTTGGTGCGATTATTCACAAATGGAAGAAACACAAAAGAACTGTCAATCTCCCTCGGCCTGGGGCTCCATGCAAGATCTCACCTCGTGGAGTTGCAATGAACATGAGAACGGTGAGGAATCAACCCAGAACTACACGGGAGGATCTTGTCAATGATCTCAAGGCAGCTGGGACCATAGTCACCAAGAAAACAATTGGAAACACACTACGCTGTGAAGGACTGAAATCCTGCAGCGCCCGCAAGGTCCCTCTGCTCAAGAAAGCACATATACATGCCCGTCTGAAGTTTGCCAATGAACATCTGAATGATTCAGAGGAGAACTGGGTGAAAGTGTTGTGGTCAGATGAGACCAAAATCGAGCTCTTTGGCATCAACTCAACTCGCCGTGTTTGGAGGAGGAGGAATGCTGCCTATGACCCCAAGAACACCATCCCCACCGTCAAACATGGAGGTGGAACCATTATGCTTTGGGGGTGCTTTTCTGCTAAGGGGACAGGACAACTTCACTGCATCAAAGGGACAATGGACGGGGCCATATACCATCAAATCTTGGGTGAGAACCTCCTTCCCTCAGCCAGGGCATTGAAAATGGGTCGTGGATGGGTATTCCATCATGACAATGACCCAAAACACATGGCCAAGGCAACAAAGGAGTGGCTCAAAAAGAAGCACATTAAGGTCCTGGAGTTGCCTAGCCAGTCTCCAGACCTTAATCCCATAGAAAATCTGTGGAGGGAGCTGAAGGTTCGAGTTGCCAAACGTCAGCCTCGAAACCTTAATGACTTGGAGAAGATCTGCAAAGAGGAGTGGGACAAAATCCCTCCTGAGATGTGTGCAAACCTGGTGGCCAACTACAAGAAACATCTGACCTCTGTGATTGCCAACAAGGGTTTTGCCACCAAGTACTAAGTAATGTTTTGCAGAGGGGTCAAATACTTATTTCCCTCATTAAAATGCAAATCAATTTATAACATTTTGACATGCATTTTTCTGGATTGTTTTGTTGTTATTCTGTCTCTCACTGTTGAAATAAACCTACCATTAAAATGATAGACTGATCATGTCTTTGTCAGTGGGCAAACGTACAAAATCAGCAGGGGATCAAATACTTTTTTCCCCTCACTGCATGGGGCTTTGGTGACAAAACGGAAGGCACTGTGATAGACTACATCCAATTTGCTGAGTTGAGTGTTGGAAGCTATTTTGTAAATGACATCGCCGAAGTCAAGGATCGGTAAGATAGTCAGTTTTACGAGGGCATGTTTAGCAGCATGAGTGAAGGAGGCTTTTTTTGTGAAACAGGAAGCCGATTTTAAATTTAACTTTGGATTGGAGATGCTTAATGTGAGTCTGGAAGGAGAGTTTACGGTCTAACCAGACACCTAGGTATTTGTAGTTGTCCACATATTCTAAGTCAGTCCCGCCGAAAGTAGTGATTCTAGTCGGGCGGGCGGGTGCAAGCAGCGTTCGATTGAAGAGCATGCATTTAGTTTTACTAGCGTTTAAGAGCAGTTGGAGGAGTGTTGTATGGCATTGAAGCTCGTTTGAAGGTTTGTTAACAGTGTCCAATGAAGGGCCAGATGTATACAAAATTGTGTTGTCTGCGTAGAGGTGGATCTGAGAGTCACCAGTAGCAAGAGCGACATCATTGATATACACAGAGAATAGAGTCGGCCCGAGAATTGAACCCTGTGGCACCTCCATAGAGACTGCCAGAGGTCCAGACAACAGGCCCTCCGATTTGACACATTGAACTCTATCTGAAAAGTAGTTGGTGAACCAGGCGAGGCAGTCAGTTGAGAAACCAAGGCTATTTAGTCTGCCAATAAGAATGCAGTGATTGACAGAGTCAAAAGCCTTGGCCAGGTCGATGCAGACGGCTGCACAGTACTGTCTTTTATCAATCGCGGTTATTATATCGTTTAGGACCTTGAGCGTGGCTGATGTGCACCCATGACCAGCTCGTAAAAACCAGATTGCATAGCGGAGAAGGTACAGTGGGATTCGAAGTGGTCGGTGATCTGTTTGTTAACTTGGCTTTCAAATACTTTCGTCGAAAGGCAGGGTAGGATCGATATAGGTCTGTAACAGTTTGGATCTAGAGTGTCACCCCCTTTGAAGAGGGGGATGACCGCGGCAGCTTTCCCATCTCTGGGCATCTCAGACGATATTAAATAATCAATTCATAAAGTTGCTCAGAATATAAACAGCTATTTTTAGACCACAGTAGTAACACACAAGTTTCTTCAAAACTACTCAGGAGATGTTTAGCAAGTGCAAAAAATAAAAACTTCCCCAGCGGAAAAATATGTTGGTCACTGTCTCGCACATGTCATAAGCCTTGTTTACACCTTGCGCTAACATGTGGGTTTCCTTATCTGATCATTATTATCCAATCACTATTTGTCCACAGTGTCCACATTGTGACCAGATTTCATTGTATGCAAAACATTTATTTTTTCAAAATAAGATTTATTTTAAGACATACTGACGCCATAAGTCAATGGTGCCACCTCTCAATGATTTTAGAGGGCAGGATAATTGAGCCTTACAGAAGAAGAACAATATCTCCATTTGGAATTATTTTGAGCAGCTGATGCAGTTGCATTTGTATAAACAATATAAATAATTTGGAGTTAGAATGTTACACCACCTGAAATGACACAACCTCTACTATCTACTTCTTTGTCTGTTCACAACTCTTGATGTTACAGTCATCAGATAATGATATTTAAAAACATCACTAATCTGAAAATATAAAAGGCACAACGGCAGAGTCATGTCTTAAGGTATAAAACTAACAACGACTCAATAATCGAGTCCCCAAATTATGGGCGGAGCTAGAAAGTTGGCTGTCAGAAGTATTACATTGTAAACTTACTTTTAATCCGTCTGTCTGCATATTTCAAGCAGGGACGGCTTGTTCAATAGGGCGATATGGGCGACGCACTGCCAAACGGGAAAAGGAAGGGATTTTTTTTCTAATCAATTATATCACGGCAACAGCAGTTATCAGTGTTCACGTCTGATCTGCCAGCCACTAAATGTCAAATCAGGCTAAAGTCGTGCTTCAAATGGCCCCGCCCGTTTTTTGGGCGATTTCAGTCAGGTTGAAAATCGCCCAGAAGTCTCTCATAGCCTGTCATGTAAAATCTATTTTTTTCACATTTCAAAGCTTTCAATACATTCTCTATGGGTGTCTGTGGGCATGCACTTACGCGCTTTCGTCATACGTGACGTAACGTTGAACGTAACTAAGACAATGGCGGCTAGCAGCGTCTATGTTGCGACCTGCAGTGTGGCGTTATTTTATGTTTTTAATTTGTAGACTTAGTTTACAAACATTCTGCAAACATTCTGCTTTGGACTGATCTTCGGTTTTGGACTGTTCTTGTTGATCGTGTACATACCCGCTACGAACGGACTAAATAATGAAAACGCTGCTGGCAGCGGAATCCCAATACAGCTGGGAGACTTGGCTGGATGACAGAGTCCCGGACAGAGAGGTGGAGCCGGCCGGCTTCACCCTGGTCAGAGCGGACCGCGATCCTGGTAAGAGAGCGACTCTGTACCCCGACATTGAACTGCTTTCTGTGTCATTGAACCTTACTATTGTTGATAAAACAAGTTTACTGGAGAACGGAGACCAAGTAGAGACTTTTGGACAAGGTGGATAATTGTATAATATAAGGCAGTTTATTCAGAGGTAAAGATATCTGGAATCGCGTGCACGGACCCGTTCGTCAAACTCGTAGGGAGTTTATCAGAAGAGCCCCTAAACATTGTGTGCTGACATTTTATACAATAAAATGAAGTAGGTTGAATCTAGTAGTTCTGATCTTCTGATTGGTCCTGATGAGTTGGGCGAGGTCACCTCCAGGCTAGTGTCACTGTTGCATTGGCTCTGAGTCGGGTTCTCTGTCTTCAGATGTTCAGCCTAAGAGAAGAGGATTTGTGTGTGTGTGTGTGTGTTTGTTATCAGTGTGTGTGTGTGTGTGTGTGTGTGTGTGTGTGTGTTTGTTATCAGTGATGATGTGTGTGTGTGTGTGTGTGTGTGTTTATCAGTGATGATGTGTGTGTGTGTGTGTGTGTGTGTGTGTGTGGGTGTGTGTGTGTGTGTCCTCAGGGCAAGAACTCGTGAGTTGGAAGAACTGAGAGACCTATGGCGTGGGTGTTATCCTTAGCCACCTGCTGACAAGGCTGACAAGATAGGACTCTTGTTCATTGTATTGAATACAAAGGCCCAACACAAAATGGGTCATGCACAAGATTTTAGTCAGACCAAGCTATAACATTATATATTTACTACGACAGTACATTCAACCAAAAGCTAATATAACAAAGGCATCAGAGATTATTTATAATCTGTCACAGAAACTGGAATCCATCTCCCCAGATCAGTCAATAAATGCTTCTGGTATTGACTTATATGCTGCCCCTGTCTTCATGTTGTTGCTGGACATATCTTTTTTAAAATGTGTGTAGGTCACCTAAATCATCAGAAAAATTGCCCCTCCTGAGAATTTCTTCAGGAGCCGCCACTGATTTCAAGACATGGCATATGGTGGTGTAGTGAGATACCCAATGGGCTGGACGATTCTCTTCTCCTCACTCATCTTGAAAAAACGTATGAAAATCGTGGAAATCAATCAATCCGCCATCGGTAACACAATGGAAAAACCAAATGATTTATTATTGAAATATTTAAATAGCCTGGGCGACCGAGAAAAACGAATTGGTACAATTTAATGCCACATGGCAAACAATAATGTAGACCATAGGGATGGAGCTGGGCAGATGAGATGTAGTCGTTGTGTGTGTGTGTCTGTAAGTTGTTGTTCGTATTTGTATGTGTATGTTTGTATTTGTTGTGAGTAAAAAAATGTAATAATAAAAATGTAAAAGGCACACACGGTTCTTCGTCTGTAGGGCTCAATTATGATTTAAATGGTTTTACTGTCTAGATCTGTCTACACTTGTAAGAAATCCAGACACAATGCATCCCCGACTACCTCTGGAGGTGGTCAGGAAGATGAGTATTTTAATTGTCTACACCAGTCTAAAAATGTGGGCAAGATCAGGAACATCTGGTGCTAACGCATGTTAGCACCAGATATAAACAGGGCTATAGATTCATGTGAACTCATCAATCTTTTCCTCTTTCCTTCCATCTCCAGGGCAGAGGTGGAGTTATGGGTCCGATGGGGATTATTGGGCCCGATGGAAGTCCAGTAAGTATTTCGCCCATATCAATTAAACTATATTTATTTAGGTAAGGCTGCTTGCTAGCCTTCATCATTCTGACTGTACACATATCTCCTCAGGGCCCTAAAGGAGACAAGGGGAGCCGTGGAGAGATGGTAGGTATTTCAGTGCTCAAACCCCCCTAACTACTATACCTACTCTGGAATCCAGGCTCAATTTTAGTATTGTTTCACTTCATTGATTCAGTCTGCTCCAATAAAGAGGCTTTTGGTCCTCTGGTGAGGCAGCCCTCCTCTGGTGAGGGCCATTTGGCTCCTAATATGAGCTCATGGTATTGGCCCAACCTTATGACAATTGATGAGTTTTAACAGATCAGCATTGTATCCAAAAATCAACATAGTAGTTACTATGTAAGATACTTTTATACGTCACATGAACTTACTCAAGCCTTTATTAAGACTACTGTAATGGCAGTGTACAATCTCAATCTTCCTTAAACTGGGATGACACTCTCAGTAACAGTTGTACAAAAATAACTGAATGCAAACCACGCCCCAAATATTCTAATGAGCCCCGCCGCTACATTATCAAGTAGAACAGAATAAAACGCTCACCCCATCTAACACATTAGGGGCCAGTGTGGGCTTCCCCATTCGGCCAATGCTATGTTACCCACCTAACAATTGGCCCAGCATATGCTAGCACATGTTGGGCTGGTGTGGGCTAGCTAGCCTGTGCTAGGCTGCTGTGGGCCAGCCCATGTTAGGCTGGTGGGGCTAGCCCTTGTTGGGTGTGGGCTAGCCCGTGCCCACAGAATACCGAACAGGGCCAATGCGGTCATGTTTTTGGGGTATTGTCCACTTCCAGCTCTGTAGTCTTTTTAAAGGCTTATGTAAGAGCATGAGACAATAAAAAAGCTGTTGTTAATATCAAATGTTGTTGAGTCAACATTTTCATTACAATGTCTAACTGTTTTTCTTAGCATGTTGTAAAAAATTAAGAAAAAATAAGAAGTACCTTTTCCTACCAGGCCCCTATCATGTGGAATAATCTCCAAGTAACGTTTCATTTGGATGTGTTGTTGTCTCTGGGTCAGTTAAGGAGAAAGGCTAGGGATTTTTATATTTCTAAATGTGTTTGTTTTGTTTGATTGTTTATTGTGTATATAATATTTGCTATTTATTTAATTGTGTGTTTTAAATTGTGTATAATTTTATTTTGTATTGTTCCCAGGGCACATTTGCAAATGGACCTAGGTCTCAATGTGTTTTTCCCTGGTTCAATAAAAGTTAATAAAAAGGGATGTAGTGGTACCCTAAAAAAGCAAATGTGTACCATTTCTGTAGGTGCACTTTTGTACCTGTGAGAAAGGTGCTATTTTGTCACCCAAGAGGTACACCTCTTTGAAAGTACAAACTATAAGGGTAATATGATATACCTCTGACTAAAGGTATTATATTGACGTACATTACAGGGTCCCACCTCCGTGACAAGCAGGGTACCCCTACTGTAGGTAAAAAAAAATCCTGAGTGTACCCAGAATTTACGTATTTCTTCTCTTTCCCTCTCTCTCATCAACAGGGATTACAAGGACCAACGGTATGTGTTTGCATTGCAGGATGTTTTAAATAATTAAACTGATTTAAAAACACTCCAATGTTAGGCTGACAAAAGGCATTTATAATTTTACCGGATTTAGATGTTTTGTGATTTTGTTGTTTCACAGGGGCTTCCAGGACCCCCGGGACCTCCAGTAAGTCTTCACCTTTCTAACACAACCTATCATACTTTGTTAGTGCGTTAACCTAATTTGGGTAACACTTTACTTGACACCCAGCGTCATAACACGTTATAACCATGTCATAAAAGCTGACATAACTTGTCATAACCTGTTTTATAATATGGTTATAACACTGTCATGACACATATTTAGATCTGTTGTGACATATATTGCATTATTTTATGGCTGGTTATTATACCTACATAAGAGTGTCAAAATACACAAAACCTGCCACACAAGGAAAAACATTCCATTACACCATAGCCTACGTGTCAACAGTATGTTTATGTTGTATACGTTTTTGGGAAATGGACCATATTAAATGATCATTGTAATTGCGCACACATTATTGTCCGACATGTATCTACCCCAATGCTCTGTTGCTGATGACTGGGATGAATGCAGGAGCAGATTTCAGGAGCAGGACAAGACACCCTCTTTTTGACTGATGACTGATATAAGGGCATGTACGAGATAGGCCTATCTGGCTTATATGATTATAATGGTCATAATACTTCTTGACAGTGTCATAAAGTGTATTTTCTTAGTCCAAGTAAATTGACACAGGATGGCCAAAATGCTTCATGACAGTGTCAGAAAGATTCTTTTCTACAAGTTATTTATCGTGTTATCGTGTGTATGCATGTGTCTATATTTGCTTCACAGTTCCATAAGGTGTATTTTTATCTGTTTTTTAAATCTAATGTTACTGCTTGCATGAGTTACTTGATGTGGAATAGAGTTCCATGTAGTCATGGCTCTATGTAGTACTGTGCGCCTCCCATAGTCTGTTCTGGACTTGGGGACTGTGAAGAGACCTCTGGTGGCATGTCTTGTGGGGTATGCATGGGTGTCCGAACTGTGTGCCAGTAGTTCAAACAGACAGCTCGGTGCATTCAACATGTCAATACCTATCACAAATACAAGTAGTGATGAAGTCAATCTCTCCTTCACTTCGAGCAAGGAGAGATTTACATTAATGTTAGCTCTCTGTACATCCAAGGGCCAGCCGTGCCGCCCTGTTCTGAGCCAATTACAATTTTCCTAAGTCCCTCTTTGTGGCACCTGACCACATGACTGAACAGTAGTCCAGGTGCGACAAAACTGGGGCCTGTAGGACCTGCCTTGTTGATAGTGCTGTTAAGAATGCAGAGCAGCGCTTTATTATAGACAGACTTCTCCCCATCCTAGCTACTGTGTTGTATCATGACAGTTTACAATCCAGGGTTTAGTCTCCTCAACTTGCTCAATTTCCACATTATTCATTACAAGATTTAGTTGAGGTTTAGGGTTTAGTAAATGATTTGTCCCAAATACAATGCTTTTAGTTTTTGAAATATTGAGGACTAACTTATTCCTTGCCACCCATTCTGAAACTAACTGCAGCTCTTTGTTAAGTGTTGCTGTCATTTCAGTCATTGTGGTAGCCAGTGGCATGTCTTTAGTAAAGACTGAAAAAAGTAAGGGTCCTAGACAGTTGCCCTGGGGAATTCATGATTCTACCTGGATTTTGTTGGAGAGGCTTCCATTAAAGAACACCCTCTGTGTTCTGTTAGACAGGTAACTCTTTATCCACAATCTTGTCTAACAAAACAGCCCCCACAATCTTGTTATCATCAATTTCTCTCAGCCAATCATCAGTGATTTGTGTAAGTGTTGTGCTTGTTGAATGTCCTTCCCTATAAGCGTGCTGAAAGTCTGTTGTCAATTTGTTTACTGTAAAATAGCATTGTACCTGGTCAAACACCATTTTTTCCAAAGGTTTACTAAGGGTTGGTAACAGGCTGATTGGTCTGCTATTTGAGCCAGTAAAGGCAAGCGCGCTGATAACGATTATTCTCCTTTTTTCTGGTTCCGACACGCATCCATTTACGCTCACCTGGAGTCTAACAATATTATGACATGGTGATAACGTTTTATGACACTGGGTGTCAAGTAACGTTTTACCCTAATTTGCTCTCAAATTCAGTTTTGAAGGGCTCCAGTTTTTCATAAAAACAGCTTAGTTCACAGTGCATTCTCAAAACTCCCTGCTCTTAGCATGTTGGAAAGTAGCATCACGTGCCACTATTGTGACTGATCATTTTTTTATCACACACGAAAGCTGTTTATATACACACAAAAAAAGGGAATATTGTGCCAAAGGTACATTGTGGACGCAGAACAACCTAAGGAAACTTCCAACCGAACAATTCGGATGGGACGAATCAAGGACTACATAGCATGTTTAGTCCTTCATAAGGGCTAATTTCTTGATAGTTCCTGCAATCCTACTGTGATGGAGCCATACTCCATCTGTGTTACTTAGGTGATCTATAGCGTTATTCCTCCTGACTGGTTGTTCTATTTTTTCTCTAGGGTCCTCCTGGTGTCCCTCTGTCATTTGTAAGTTATTGTTATTGTTATCTCTTCAATACACTAAATACACTAGACTTTTCCACAAAACATTAGCTACTGTGACTATGGCCATAATCAACTATGTGACTATTGAGTATGGTCATCACTACAGCACCAAACATGTTGGGTTCCTATACAGTACGTCCTATAACAGTGTTATGTTACAGTATGTTGTCTGTGCCATTTTCTTATTCAGAAACAGGACGGTTCCCTTCAGGTGTTTATAGACTCAAACACCCCACTCAGGACTGAGGTCAGTACCATCAGACAGTCAATAAGCTGTGTACATAGCCATTTATTCTCATGTATAATCAACCATTCATGTTTTTTGATTTACTGCTGCATGAATGCAAATTCATTTCTCTCTCTCTGTCTATCTCTGTGTAGAATTGGCCAGTTATGGACCTGCCTATGCTGGACCAGGTTACAGAGATCATTAAGACCCTCCACTACCTCAGTAACCTGATCCAGAGCCTGAAAAATCCACTGGGCACCAGGGACAATCCCGCCCGCATTTGCAGGGACCTCCACAGCTGTGAACAGAAAATGAACGATGGTGAGAGGACAGATACTGTAGTGTTTGTGCTTGCTTGCTTGCTTGCTTGCTTGCTTGCATGCATGCATGCATGTACTGTATGTGCACACAAGAGCGAGAAGAAGTATGGGAAAGAGTGTGCTTAGTGACTGACTCTTTTCTCTCCCTAGGCACTTATTGGATTGACCCAAACCGGGGCTACTCCTCAGATACAATAGAGGTCACCTGTAACTTTACAGGAGGAGGGCAGACCTGCCTAAAACCTGTCACAGTGTCAAAGGTACTGCAGACCTCACCGGTCATACATCACCAGTCATACACCAGTCATACTACAACCAGTCACACTGAATATATGATACCGCAGTATTTAATGAATAGTAGCTAGGTTTCCATTCAATTGGCAACAGAGTTTCAAATCAAATCAAATGTTATTTGTCACATGCGCCGAATACAACAGGTGTAGACCTTACCGTGAAATGCGGTCTGATGCCGAGCAGTTGTCATACCAAGCGGTGATGCAACCAGTCAGGATGCTCTCGATGGTGCAGCTGTAGAACTTTTTGAGGATCTGAGGACCATGCCAAATCTTTTCAGTCTCCTGAGGGGGAATAGGCGTTGTCGTGCCCTCTTCACGACTGTATTGGTGTGTTTGGAACATGATTGTTTGTTAGTGATGTGGACACCAAGGAACTTTAAGCTCTCGACCCGCTCCACTACAGCCCCGTCGATGTCAATGGGGGCGTGATCGGCCATCCTGTTTAGTCCAGGGGCCACGATCAGCTCTTTTGCTCACGTTGAGGGAGAGGTTGTTGTCCTGGCACCACACTGCCAGGTATCTGACCTCCTCCCAATCGGCTGTCTCTTCGTTGTCGGTGATCAGGACACTGTTGTGTCGTTGGCAAACTTAATGATGGTGTTGGAGTCGTGCGTGGCCACGCAGTCGTGGGTGAACAGGGAGTACATGAAGGGACTAAGCACGCACCCCTGAGGGGCCCACGTGTTGAGGATAAGCGTGGCAGATGTTGTTGTTAGCTACCGTTACCACCTGGGGGCGGCCTTCAGGAGGTCCAGCATCCAGTTGCAGAGGGAGGTGTTTAGTCCCAGGGTCCTTAGCTTAGTGATGAGCTTTTAGGGCACTATAGTGTTAAATGCTGATCTGTAGTTAACGAACAGCATTCTCACGTACAGTGGGGAGAACAAGTATTTGATACACTGCCGATTTTGCAGCTTTTTCTACTTACAAAGCATGTAGAGGTCTGTAATTTTTATCATAGGTACACTTCAACTGTGAGAGACGGAATCTAAAACAAAAATCCAGAAAATCACATTGTATGATTTTTAAGTAATTAATTTGCATTTTATTGCATGACATAAGTATTTGATCACCTACCAACCAGTAAGAATTCCGGCTCTCACAGACCTGTTCGTTTTTCTTTAAGAAGCCCTCCTGTTCTCCACTCATTACCTGTATTAACTACACCTGTTTGAACACGTTACCTGTATAAAAGACACCTGTCCACACACTCAATCAAACAGACTCCAACCTCTCCACAATGGCCAAGACCAGAGAGCTGTGTAAGGACATCAGGGATAAAATTGTAGACGTGCACAAGGCTGGGATGGGCTACAGGACAATAGGCAAGCAGCTTGGTGAGAAGGCAACAACTGTTGGCGAAATTATTAGAAAATGGAAGAAGTTCAAGATGACGTTCAATCACCCTCGGACTGGGGCTCCATGCAAGATCTCACCTTGTGGGGCATCAATGATCATGAGGAAGGTGAGGGATCAGCCCAGAACTATACGGCAGGACCTGGTCAATGACCTGAAGAGAGCTGGGACCACAGTCTCAAAGAAAACCATTAGTAACACACTACGCCATCATGGATTAAAATCCTGCAGCACACGCAAGGTCCCCCTGCTCAAGCCAGTGCATGTCCAGGCCCGTCTGAAGTTTGCCTATGACCATCTGGATGTTCCAGAGGAGGAATGGGAGAAGGTCATGTGGTCTGATGAGACAAAAATATAGCTTTTTGGTCTAAACTCCACTCGCCGTGTTTGGAGGAAGAAGAAGGATGAGTACAACCACAAGAACACCATCCCAACCGTGAAGAATGGAGGTGGAAACATCATTCTTTGGGGATGCTTTTCTGCAAAGGGGACAGGACGACTGCACCGTATTGAGGGGAGGATGGACTGGGCCATGTATCGCGAGATCTTGGCCAACAACCTCCTTCCCTCAGTAATAGCATTGAAGATGGGTCGTGGCTGGGTCTTCCAGCATGACAACGACCCGAAACACACAGCCAGGGCAACTAAGGAGTGGCTCCGTAAGAAGCATCTCAAGGTCCTGGAGTGGCCTAGCCAGTCTCCAGACCTGAACCCAATAGAAAATCTTTGGAGGGAGCTGAAAGTCCATATTGCCCAGCGACAGCCCCGAAACCTGAAGGATCTGGAGAAGGTCTGTATGGAGGAGTGGGCCAAAATCCCTGCTGCAAAACCCTGCTGCAGTGTGTGCAAACCTGGTCAAGACCTACAGGAAACATATGATCTCTGTAATTGGAAACAAAGGTTTCTGTACCAAATATTAAGTTCTGCTTTTCTGATGTATCAAATACTTATGTCATGCAATAAAATGCAAATTAATTACTTAAAAATCATACAATGTGATTTTCTGGATTTTTTCACAGTTGAAGTGTACCTATGATAAAAATTACAGACCTCTACATGCTTTGTAAGTAGGAAAACCTGCAAAATCGGCAGTGTATCAAATACTTGTTCTCCCCACTGTAGGTGTTCCTTTCGTCCAGGTGGGAAAGGGAATAGTCTAAAATCCACATGAAAACAATATGCATATTTTCCCACCAAAGATGTGTTTCCATCAAATTTACTTGTTGCAGATAAAAAGTTGTGCGTAATGACGTAGTGCACATAAAAATACATTTTAAATGGGTTTCCATCGCATTTTTTTTATTATTATTTTTTTTTTTATGTTGCCTTATATAGCGAATGTGCCCACTCTCATATTGGCACGTGCACTCTAGCCAGTTTACATTATGATATTATTATGGACAAAAGAGCGAGATAAAAAATGTTTTCAAACGCCAGCCAAGCATCGATGATCATGTCACCAGAATAAGACCCTCACTATTTATTGGAAAGGAGCATCATTGAGCTCATCACCTTGCACTTTCACCACCCTGTGAAGTTCAACATAATTTATTTAATCTGTAGCCTAATAAACTGCATGTTTTCCCGACTAGTCGTCGTGTGGAGGACCACACAACATGTTATTGTGTGACTCCAAGTGTACTTCGATATGATGGTTATTATATCAATATTTGCTCATAAAAGCATTTCCAACATTTCTCGGATAATACATTTTACCGGCACAAAAATATCCCACCTTGTCTAGCGTACTTTTTTTGTCAACATTTTTATGTTATTTTAGCTTTTTTGGGGGAGGGGGCAAATATATTGAGACCTAGGTCTCTTTTACAAACGTGCCCTGTATATACACAACATAAATATATACATACATTATATCCAAACATATACACATAAAAATACAAAGATACAGTCATGGAAAGCACAAATAAGACATCACAAATCATCCAGAAAAACAGTTACATTCCTCCACAAATAAGTCCCCAATCAATACTTGAAATTGCCTGAACAGCACCAGAACATCAAGATTAAATGTATTTAGAATTTTTGTTCAGCAATTTGGTGTATTAAAACTAAAAACAGATTTACCTAGCTCGGTGGAGAACCTAGGAACCTCAAAAGTTAACCAATCCCGTGAACGGGTTAGGCAACTCAGGATTCTATACCTGACGGAAGTTTATGAAGTAGCGGCTTGTAAACAAAAAGGGAAAGTTTACAGACATTGTTTTCATCAGGCCTGCCATTACATTTTTTATCCAACATGTACTTTACTCGCATAAAAAGGTTAGATGGAAACCTGGTTAGTGGGACAAAAATGTTTTACCATGTTGCTCGCTCCACTAACTTAGCCATTTATCAGTACAAAGATTTCTTCACTGATAAGCACTGTCCCATTCTCACCTATTTAATAATAATAATTATTTATTTGTTAGGGACAGGTACAAATAAAACATTGACACATTGAAGTATCAACATATGCATTGCACCATTATGCTTTAGCTTGCCCTAATTTGAAAAATGAATCAATAGATGTGCTTTAAAATAAGTGAAAAAGAAAAGACAACAAAATGAATAAACAAAACATGTTACAAAATAATCACACATGGTAGCATTCTTGATGTTCTTTAAACCAGCTTGTCACTTTCTTTGTGAATTCATGTTTTTCATATTGGAACACTATAGTAACCATTTGCTGCTCCCCGAGAATGTGAGCCTATAGACTGTAGTGTAGTCACTTGTTTATATCGGGGCTGTGGAGCAAGTCCATGCAAACATTTGAACAGAAACTTAACATTAGCAAATGTAAAAAAAAAAATTCTACCTACATTAAAAAAAAACACCCATACGTAAAATGTATGCAGGCATGAATGTAAGTCGCTTTGGATAAAAGTGTCTGGCAAATGGCATATATATTTATATATTATGATATATTGTAATATTTGTTTTGAGCAACTTTCATCCTCTTTATTGGCAATGCAGCTGGAGATTAGTGTTGGGCACGTCCAGATGAACTTCCTGCATATCTTGAGCTCAGAGGCGGTGCAGCATGTGACCATCCACTGCCTGAACGTACCTATCTGGAGGACCTCTGAGGACCAGCCTCCTTCACAGGGGGCTGTGCATTTCAGGGCATGGAGCGGGGAGATCATTGAGGCAGGTGGAGAGATGGAGCCTCACGTCATCGAGGACTCCTGTTGGGTACGGCTGCCATGTTCTCTCAGTGAAGTGTACTCTCTGAGCTTGAGGTAGAAGTTGCCTCTCACCACAGATCTAGGATCAGTTTACACTACCCTACCCCTGATTCTAACCATTAGGGGTATGGAAAATATACTCCCCTCCATATGAAGAGTTTCTTTCCAAAACGCTATATACCACTTCAGAAATGGTCAATTAGCTTTTAACATTAAAATAACTTATTAAAGAGATTGATGTGTTTTTTCACTATTTATCATGGCATGGGGTTGTTCAATGGCAGACATGTATTTGCTTGAAATCTATCACACTCTTCATTTCAGAGAGACAAATAATGTTTTATTTTGCAAAACACTATATATCCGACTCACTCTCAGAGAAATAAGTAGTACTTCTAGGTACTACAGTCACATCTACAAATAACTATATATTTTTTGTAAAGAACTGTACAAATGATACATTGTGACATCAATATTAAAATAAAAAAACATTAGGAAATTAATCAATATAGTAATATGAGATCTGTATGTAAAACATTTACATTTTAGTCATTTAGCAGATGCTCTTATCCAGAGCAACTTACAGTTAGTGCATTCATCTTAAGATAGCTAGTAAAAATAAAATAAAAAACATAGTGAGACAACCAAATATCACAGTCAAATATACAGTATACGAACATTCCATTCCAGCCAAAAAATTGATAGAATCATAATCAAGTGACGTAACAAAGTCTAAAACAGGCTGAATTAATCAATGTTAAAACAATACATCTGTAAATAATGTAGACATTTGATGAGGAAGTCATACCATTTTACATGGTGTTTTGTGCACCAATGAGCAGTATTTCTGAAGTTTGACAATGTCACGAAAGCTAGGATGATTTGTCCAACATTAGCTAGCTAGCTAGCTAAGCTTGCTAGCTGACTGAGCCAGCCAGCCATACTTGCTAACCAGCTAACCAGTTCAGCACACAAAATGTTGAATTCTTCCACCAAGTTAATTGCTAGCTAACATTATTCTCAGATGAGGTAAAGTTAGCTAGCTATGTTGCATGTTTCTAGCTCCTAGACAACTTTACTGTATTTTGTTATTTTTTGTGGTATTTCTTAAATTATTTGATCAGAATGTTTCTTGCATTATTACCTACAGCCGAAAATAACTTTTGGATATTAGATCGGCGGTCACTCAAAAGCATTTCGACCAGAAATTCAACTTTCCTGAATTGGATCCTTGGTTTGAACTCCCAGAGGCAATTCCACTCATCCCGGGGCTGCTCCGTCACCGGACGAGGAATAAGGTCTGAGCTCCTAATCAGACTCAGGAGGTGTGCATATCATCCACCGCTTCTGAGTATATTACTCATTAACGTTCAGTCCCTGGACAATAAAGTGTTGACGTATACACTGACTCGATGACGGAGTTCATCAGGAAGTGCATTGAGGATGTTGTTCCCACTGTGACTATTAGAACTTATCCAAACCACAAACCGTGGATAGATGGCAGCATTCGCGCAAAACTGAAAGCGCGAACCACCACATTTATCCACGGCAAGGTGTACAAACAGACCAGCTATGAGCAATCAAAGAGGCAAGATGACAGTACAGGGACAAAGTGGAGTCGCAATTCAACGACTCAGACACAATACATATGTGTCAGGGACTCCAGACAATCACAGATTATAAAGGGAAAGCCAGCCATGTTGCGGACACCAACGCCTCATTCCCAGACATGCTAAACACCTTCTTTGCCCGCTTCAAGCAAAAACCCAGAACCACCGATGCGGGCCACTGCTGCTCACGAGGACAGTGAGCTCTCGTTCTCCGTGGTCCACGTCAGTAAGACATTTAAGCATGTTAACCGTTGCTGCCGGCCCAGACGGCATCCCAAGCCGCGACGTCAGAGCATGTGCAGACTAGCTGGCTGGAGTGTTTACGGACATATTCACTCTCTCCCTATCCCAGCCTGTTGTCCCCACTTGCTTCAAGTCCCCCCATGTTCCTGTACCCAAGAAAGCAAAAGTAACTGAACTAAATGACAATCGCCCCGTAGCACTCACTTCTGTCATCATGAAGTGCTTTAAGAGGCTAGTTAAGGATCATATCACCTCCACCTTACCCAACACCCTGGACCCACTACAATTTGCATTCTGCCCCAACAGATAAACAGATGACACAATCGCCGTCGCACTGCACACTGCCTATCCCATCTGGACAAGAGAAAAACCTATGTAAGAATGCTGTTCATCGACTACAGCTCAGCCTTTATCACCATAGTGCCCTCCAAGCTCATCACTAAGCTCGAGCCCCTGGGTCTGAACCCCGCCCTGTGCAACTGGGTCCTGGACTTCCTGACGGGCTGACCCCAGGTGGGGAAGGTAGGCAAAAACACTTCCGCCATTCTGGTCCTCAACATGGGGGCCCCACAAGGGTGCGTGCTCAGCCCCCTCCTGTACTCCCTGTTCACCCATGACGCACATCTCCAACTCAATCATCAAGTTTGCTGACAACACAACAGTGGTAGGCCTGATTACCAACAACGACAAGACAGCCTACAGGGAGGAGGTGAGGGCCCTGGAAAATAACCATTCCCTCAACGTCAACAAAACGAAAGAGCTGATCGTGGACTTCAGGAGACAGCAGAGAGAGCACGCCCCCATCCACATCAACGGGGCCGCAGTGGAGAGGATGAAAAGATACAAGTTCCTCGGCGTGCCCATCACTGACAACCTGAAATGGTCCATCCACACAGAAAGTGTGGTGAAGAAGGTGCAGCAGCACCTCTTCAACCTCAGGAGGCTGAAGAAATTTGGTTTGGCCCATAAGACCCTCACAAACTTCTACAGATGCACCTTAGAGAGCATCCTGTCGGGCTGTATCTCCGCCTGGTACGGCAATTGCACCATCCGCAACCGCAGAGCTCTCCAGAGGGTGATGCGGTCAGTCAAATGCATCACTGGGGGTACACTGCCTGCCCTCCAGGACAGCTACAGCACCCGGTGTCATAGGAAGGCCAAGAAGATCATCAAGGACCTCAGCCATCCGAGCAAGGGCCTGTTCACCCCGCTACCATCTAGAAGGCGGACACAGTACAGGTGCATCAAAGCTGGGACAGAGAGAGTGAAAAACAGCTTCTATCTCCAGGCCATCAGACTGTTAAAGATCAGTATTTTTTGTATTGTTAGGTATACTGCACTGTTTGAGCTAGAAACATAAGCATTTCGCTGCACCACCGATAACATCTGCAAAATGTGCACGCCACCAATACAATTTGATTTGATTTGAGAGTGATGGTAAGACCCGGGCAATGTTTTTAAGATGGAAAAATTATGTTTTACATATATGTTTTATGTGGGCATCGAAGGACAGAGAACGATCAAACTTGACTCCTAGGTTGGAGATGACCGAGGACAGTTGGATGGCCTGGCCGTTGATTGTAAGGCAGATGTTTCCAGCACTGGTGACCTGCTTGGGTGTCCCAATAAAAAATGCATTGGTCTTGGCCTTTCAATGTATAAAATATATTTCTGCCCTCTACAATTGTAAAAAGTTTTGGTAGAGGCACTTTAAAACAGTCAGATTTGACTTACAAACACTGGACAACAAACACTTCAACAGAGAAAGACTGACATGCTGCCATCTTTGAAATGTAAGAGTGGACCTGTTCCTATGGAAGAAGTTATTAATTTCTTAACTAACTCAACAACTTGCTTTTTGAAAGATAGCTTTTCGTCAATACAGATGCCCAGATATTACAGTATAAGAGGGGACACGATCAGGGCACCATTCAAAGTACGTATGCATAAATCGTCAGATACATTTTTACGTGATTTGGAAAAAAACATATACTTGGTTTTACCTGCATTAAGTACCAATTTTGTTTCACCAAAGGCTTTCTGCAGGGCAATAAAGGCAGATTGAAGCTCTAACAGAGCCTGGTCAGCTGTGGGGGCAATAGCATACAACACAGTGTCATCTGAATACAGGTGAAAGTATTATTATTTATTGTTTTACAGATAAACCAATATTGTTCATGTCAATAGTGAAAAGAACTGGACCAAGAACTGATTCCTGTTATGTCCATAAAACCTGATTTAACGCCATCAGTAAATGCACAGTGTTCTGTCCTTTCAATAATTTTCAAACCCCCTACAGTGCATTCGGAAAGTATTCAGACCCCTTCACTTTTTCCACATTTTGTTACGTTACAGCCTTGTTCTAAAATGGATTGAAATGCAACTTTTTCTTGTCAATCTACACACAATACCCCATAATGACAAAGCAAAAACAGATTTTTAGATTTTTGGGTCAAATTTCTAAATACATACAATTTACATAAGTATTCAGACCCTTTACTCAGTACTTTGTTGAAGCACCTTTGGCACCTTTGGCAGCGATTACAGCCTTGCGTCTTCGGTATGACACTACAAGCTTGGCACCTGTATTTGGGGAGTTTCTCCCATTCTTCTCTACAGATCCTCTCAAGCTCTGTCAGGCTCTGTCGTAGCCGGCCGTGACCGGGAGACCCATGGGGCGGCGCGCAATTGGCCCAGCGTCGTCCAGGGTAGGGGAGGGAATGGCCGGCAGGGATGTAGCTCAGTTGATAGAGCATGGCGTTTGCAACGCCAGGGTTGTGGGTTCGATTCCCACAGGGGGTATGAAAAAAAGAATAATGTATGCACTCACTAACTGTAAGTCGCTCTGGATAAGAGCGTCTGCTAATGACTAAAAAAAAAATTCAAATAAAAAAAAAGGTTGGATGGGGAGCGTAGCTGCACAGCTATTTTTAGGTCTCTCCAGAGATGTTCGATCGGGTTCAAATCCGGGCTCTGGCTGGGCCTCTCAAGGACATTCAGAGACTTGTCCCGAAGCCACTCCTGCGTTGTCTTGGCTGTGTGCTTAGGGTCGTTGTCCCGTTGGAAGGTGAACCTTCGCCCCAGTCTGATGTCCTGAGGACTCTGGAGCAGGTTTTCATCAAGGATCTCTCTGTTCGTTCATTTTTCCCTCGATCCTGACTAGTCTCCCAGTCCCTGCCGCTGAAAAATATCCCCACAGCATGAT